ACACACACACACACACACACACACACACACACACACACACACAGAATGGCTGTGAGGGTGATTTCCATCCACAGAGGGCTGGAAATACAAACAGTGTGAGAGGAAACTGTTGTGACTGCACCACTGTGACCCCACACACACACGCTGTCCTCAGCAGCATCCACTCCTCTACGTTAACTCTCCTTCACCTGAAGACACTGCTGTTCAGAGAGGAAATGATTAATCAATTCTTTGATTGGTCAATCAACAGAACACTAATCAGCAACTATATTTATAATCAATTGATCATTTAAGTCATTTTCCAAGATAAAATGCCAAACATGACCTAGTTTCAACTTCTAAACTGTGAGGATTTGCTTACTGACAGTTCACTGGCCAAACAATTAACTGAGAAACTGATAGGCAAATTAATCAATAATGTAAAGTTGCAACCCCTCTGCAGTTATATGATGTCAGATGACTATGTTCTCCCTCTGCTGTGTGTGTGTGTGTGTGTGTGTGTGTGTTCTCTAAGTGACAGCTTAAGGCAGATGTTCACTTTAAGGCTGCTGTTTATATCCTCAGTGGGGTCAACATGCAACTACTTCCAGCCTGTCACAGGTCTCACCTGTGGATTGCATTACTCACACACATCTCCACACCACTGTGTGTCGTGTGTGTGTGATATCTGGATGTTGGAGACATGTGAGAGTGAGAGAGAACACACTCTCCAGTTGAGTCACGATCGGGTGAATCTTTAAATGAATCAGGATGGAGGAATGCAGAGCTGATACTGAAGCTGGTGGCTGCAGTGAATTAACAGCAGTGGACTGACTCCTGCTGCATATAACATGTTGAAATCTGCATCAGTCTCTCCAGTATCTCCCCACAGCTACTGGACACACTGCCATGTGGACTGGATACAGCCACTATCAGGCCAAAGCTTGATGGTTCATGATAAAGGACTTTAAAATCTAAGTTAGCTGTGGATACACATCCCCCAGGCGACAAGGATTTGGTTTTAGTTAGGCCTCAGCAATAATTCAGTACTGTCAGAAATTAACCTTAATGGAATCATAACTTCATGATATGATCACATCATGTTTCCTTTTTGTAATGCCTCCACACCAGCGACAGTCAGAGCCAGAGGCATATTGTTTTCGGGTTGTCCATCCTTCATGGACACGATATCTCAGTAATACCTTGATGAAACTTCTTCAAATTTGGCACAAACATTCGCTTGGACTCAAAGATGAACAGATTAGATTTTGGTGGTCACGGTGACCTCACAAAACACGGGTTTGGCCTTGTACATGCAATATGTAATGCCTTTAGGGAATTTTTTCACTATGAAATTCACTTCACATTTTGTACAAATGCTCAGTTGAACTCAAGGACGAACTGATTAGTGATTATCAGTTCAAAATGTTCCCTTGATCATCACTTTTACAGTGTAATTCTGTTTTTACTTATTTTCATAAAATCCCATAAAAAGTGCCACCACGATCAACAAGTTCTGCAAGTCACAAAGTGTAGTGTTTCTCCATGCCATGTGGAATGACACATATCTGATCTGACACCTCTAATTTGGTGAAGGTCAGGCACAAAAATGACTTGTTCAGGTCGAGGAAAACATATTGGTTTGGGTTAAAATTACTACTATGTTAAACACACAGTCTGTAACTTCTGCATCTAGCGCTCTCTCAATCAAATCAGTATAAAAGATGGTGTTGGGTGATGTCATGAAATAACGTGGGATCATGTGAGTTGTTGTCCTCACTGCTATTTCAGTAAGCTCCTCCCGGTTTGGATTCCTTCAGTGTCAGTGGGTCAGGAAATCAAACAGACCTGGTGATTCTAACCGTCAAAAACACTGAATGAAGCAGTTTGACATTTAAAGTCAGAGTTTGAGCGACGCTGTACGGAGGACAGAGACTCAGGGAAGAGCTGGTGCTAAGATTGATGCTAACCTTTGTTCTGATTGTTTCTCTGATAACTTATGAAGCAGATGTTCAGCAGGTTTTTACCAGCAGCTGAATTCTCCACAGAGGTGTCCTCCTCTCCATAACAAACACACCAGGAGATTAAAACCAGTAGAAACACCCAGAAAGCAGTTTGACTTTAAAGCTCAGAGAATCACTGACGCTCTTCAGAGACACAGGACAGGACGTCTCCAGCAGCTGGGAGCTGAGCTGTCTAACATTTCCTCAGCTTGTTTCTCTGATAACTTCAGATCCAGACGTCCGACGACTAAAATCCTTCATCTGGTTCAAATATAGAGCTGAAAACCACCAAGGTGTCAAAAGTGTATGTGGCTTAAAACTAAGTAAAAGTCAATGTTGAGCTTCTGTCAGAAAAACACACTGACACATGATCATAGATGATATGATGTCATTGAGAGGCGACCAATGAAACGTTACCAGGATTAAAATCACAGATTTCTCTGCTTTGAGAATTGATTGAAACATTTGTGATAATGTGAGAACACAACTCAACAACATAGAGAACAGAGGTCTAGATGTTTTTAGACATTTTATTGTGGAATAGTTACAGATTATATATCTATAAAGCTACAGTGACGTTTTAGTTGAAATATGCTCTAAAATATACAGTATCTTACTGTGGAGAGTCAGAGGCGCCTGTGAGCAGTGCAGAGATATCCCCTCCTGAAGTTTATGGGAGGATACTGAAGCGTATTGTTTTACGCTGAGACAGTGAGGTGAAGTGCTGGGTGCAGTGAAACTTAGGAGGGAGGGGGGTGGGGGGTGGGGTGGGGTGGGGTGGGGGGTTGGAGCAGTTTGCTTCAGAGTCATATTAACTCACTCATGCTCAGCTTGATTTCCAGAACTTGCATTTTGTCAATGTTAAGGACAAATTCATTAATAAAGCAGTGTGACTCCGAGAACTGATGTTAACCTGATGTTAACTTGATGTTAACTTGATGTTAACATCATGTTAACCAGATGCTAACCAGGGATGTTAACTTGATGTTAACTTGATGTTAACTTGATGTTAACCTGCTGTTAACGTGATGTTAACTTGATGTTAACGTGATGTTAACTTGATGTTAACGTGAAGTTAACTTGATGTTAACTTGATGTTAACTTGATGTTAACCTGATGTTAACCTGATGTTAACTTGATGTTAACTTGATGTTAACCTGATGTTAACTTGATGTTAACTTGATGTTAACTTGATGTTAACCTGATGTTAACTTGATGTTAACCAGGGATGTTAACCTGATGTTAACTTGATGTTAACTTGATGTTAACCTGATGTTAACTTGATGTTAACCTGCTGTTAACCTGATGTTAACTTCATGTAACTTGATGTTAACATCATGTTAACCTGATGCTAACCAGGGATGTTAACCTGATGTTACCCTGATGTTAACTTGATGTTAACATCATGTTAACCTGATGTTAACCAGGGATGTTAACCTGATGTTACCCTGATGTTAACTTGATGTTAACATGTTAATTGTGACTATGGCCTTTTTGATGAGTTGTAATGTGTTTTGAGTCAGCTGATGAATAGCTGTCTCTGCCGTAGTGAAGCTGTATCCTCATTGTTCTGTGAAAACTAATGGATTTGTTAAAACAGCCTGTGTGTATTATTATACACATGTCTTCCTTTAATAAAACCTTTGATCAATATGAATTGATTTCGAATATGTTTTAATTCTAGTGAATGAAGTTTTGTTGATGTTTTCTGTGTGTGTATTGATCTGATGGGCAGGTTGGATCTTCATCAGGCATCAGTGTCACTGTAATATTAGCAGTGTTTATATGTGGTGGATTGACTCTGGGCCTGGGGTTTTATTTCTTCATTATCAGCGTGATAATGCTGTAAATGCTTCATCTAGTGACTCTGCTTGGTCTCCTGTCATTGTGGGCAGGTCTGTGTAATCGAGGAATGTATTTATATCATTGAGGTCTGCTTCATTGTCTGATGTATAGAATTCACGGTTGAGTGTTTGACAGGTATTTACCTTATCTCGCCATGACGTGATGTTCATGTGCGGGTTGTGGCGCAGTGATGTGTACCCGCCTTTAACTGGGACCTAGTATTTCATGGTGACCGGGGATCAGGTCCCGTCAGCGGCACAACAGACTTACCTGCTGTCAAATTCACCTTTTGCCTCATGGTGTTGTTGAACTCTGGACTTCCAAATTCCCTATTTTGTATTTGATGGTCTCTTTATGCCAAAGTTGTTTGTCTCTGCTGCAGGAAGAAGGGAAGGGTACAATTGTTTATATTATGTTGGAAAAATTAAATTGCAAAATCTAATGGACAGATTTTTTTGTGTCTTCTCATGAGGTAAAGAGCTTTTATTAATCTTTTGTTGAAGGTGATTTGTTGCAAACATTCATGATTTATTATTATATTCAAAATGCTTGTGTTTTAGTTGCTAGTTGTTATTTGTTATGACAGATATATCTGATTTGTATGTTTACAAGTTTACTGAGATTTTCTTTTGTGCACTAGTGTTTTCCAGCTCTTGTCCTGTGCCGTCTCTCTTTTCGGCTTGTGAGACTAATATGAGATTATTTTTCCGTGTTGCTGTTTCCCAGAATAATGTTAGCGTGTTGTTTGGAGAGTCATTTATATCCATGAAGGAGCCAACTCTCGCTGCACAAACCTGTCAAGGTTTGAGTCTTTGAGCAGTGAGACGTTGAAGCGCCATCTAGGGGTCTGTTTGTGGAGTTGCTTTCTGTGGAGACAAGGAGACAGGAGCCTGAGGCTCTTATTACAATGAATGAATCCACATTTGATGCTCTAGTGAGTATTTGGGATATGTTTGGAAGTGTGTGGGACTGAGTCAAACTAAACTACAGATTTAATAGTTTTTGAACAACAAAGTGTGTGTGTGTGTGTGTGTGTGTGTGTGTTGGGCACAGAGGAGTAAGAGATATCAGGCTTTGGATACATACACAATACTACAATAATACTACATTCATTGTTGGTTTTGGTCTGCCTCTCCTGACAGTGGTCTCTGTTCTTGTCTCTTTGTCTTCCAGGTCACACAGGTCGCTTCATCAGAGCAGTATTCTGTACCAGTCTGCTGTTTCTACTGGCTCACATCTGCTTTCAGACAGTCCTGTATACATATCCTCCACTCAGCATCGCCATAGGAGACAACTGCTCACAATGGGACACCATAACCAGACATATAGGAGTCTCCAGGTATGTAACCAGTGTTTAGCACCAGTTATCCATGCCACTGTCATTGATGGTTGGAAGAGTGACTGGGGAAAAGGGTGTTCATTAAAATATGAGAGCATGTTAATCCAGATAATAGTCTGCTATAGTGCAGATTTCATGCCTCTGTGCTGTATCTGAAGTCCCCTCTCTATCAGGCGAGATCAACACTACTGTCAATCAATTTATAAAGGTCTACTCTAGAAATGACCTCCTCATGTATCATTGCTGCTGTGCCCATGACCTTCTACTTTTAACACACGTTCTCAGGACTGGCTGACTTTATATGTTCCAGCAGTACCAATACCAATCTTCAGCCTTCAGATATCATGCCCCATTTGCGTGGAATAATTTACAGAACAGGTTGAACCTTGACACGATTTACATCACTGAATATTTATACTTCTGCTATTCATATTTCTTTTTATTTCTTTTATTTTTCTGTAATCAGGTTTCACTTGTAAATGAGATTTTGATCTTAATGTGACTTCTTGATTAAATAAAGTGCATATTTGTATATGTATATATATATATATATATACAGTATATATATATATGTATATATATATATATATAAACATAGGCACAATGTGTAGAATATTAACTTAATATTAACTAAAGTACAAATGTGAGTTATAAACAGTAATAAACAATTTTAGCACATACAACACAAGTATTAAATATGAACATTTACAAAAACAGGAATAAGAGCATTATTATGATATTGTAAAACTCTGTGTAGAATATTTTAGGAAACAGGATAACAGAAGAAGTGAAGAATGAAACGTCTCTACAACACAGTCCAGCCGCTCCATTCAACAGAAAACAAGATTTAAGTTGCATCTACTGCAGGTGAAATGTTTGACCTCTCTTGACCTTTACACGTGTCGATGTGTGTACGTCTCAGGCTTCCCTTGGACGATCCCTGGAGTGTGTTACGCCTTCTGTGTCCTGATCTGGGCGTCTGCGTGGTTGCCTTGTTAACAGTTGTCCTCTGCAGCAGACTGGTCAGGAACAGAGAAATGGTGGCTGCTGCCAATATTACATCGGTGAGTCATTGTATGTGTGTGTGTGTTATTAGACTAAAATCTAAGTGGACATGGTGATTGATAAACAATGTGGAGGTGCTGTTATATGAAGTGACATCACTGGATAATCAGGTTCATCATCAGCTTCATTCACTTAAGTCAGGTTTGCATTTGCAGTGTGGGTTTTGTTGCCATAGTAAGTTAAACAAGCCTGAGACCTGCAGGCCTAAATGATGAGCTTAATTTAACACTTTCTTTATTTTGTTGCTTTATGATGAGCTCTCGTCTTTTTTTTGCTGTATGTCGGATTAATTCCTTCCCAACTGAGATTTTCATGTAGACTAGTGGTTCTCAACCCGTGGGGCAGGGCCCACTGGTGGGCCGCAAAAGTTTTGCAAGTGGGACAACAAATCATTTGCAAGTGCAACAAATAAAAATGTTAATGTAATGTTGTCACCAGCCATTTTTCTATATGTTTTCATACATTTACTGACACAGGATTGGACATAACCAGGAAGAAACAGAAAAGCATTAGAAGGAAACAAATGAAGTTTTATTTGAAACTATGAAATTCTAAATTAAAAGTGTATTTCCACAAAAACTGGGAAAGAATATACATTTTCTGGGACAGCTGTGAGAAAACAGCGATAGGTGGCAACTCTGAGTCTCTCAGGCCTTGTTAAAAGCCAACAACCCTCTCCTAGACTTATCTGCTTTCTCAGTTAATAAGTGTGAAAGAAGAGTAGAGATTAGTTCGCCATTTAGATAAATTCCTTATATATCCTTAAAGAACCATTTCTGAAGAAAAGAGATGAGAAAAGATGGACACAGGAGCAGAAGGAAGAAAAATGTCTATCTGTTATTTCATTTACAATTTGCAAACTAAAATGCTCTGGCCATGTCATTGGTACAATATTGAAATGTAGTTGGAGGAAAAAGTGGAAAGACTCAAAATGGAAATATTCAAGTAATGCACCAATAACTTAAAACTATTGTTGAAATGTACCTGGTTTAAACTCATCCCCATACTCCCCCTTCTTTCTGGCTGATCTGTGTTTCCACCTCTCTCTCTCCTTTTATTTTACCTTCTCACTTTCATTCTTCTCTGTCTCCAGGGCAACCGCCCAAACAAACAGTACCGAGCTGTCGGCCAGGAAAGGAGGAGACAGTGGAATCTGAGTAAAAGACATATTCCAGCACAAGTTTAGAAAGTTTTTCATGTTGATGTGATAAACAGTCAAATGCGATGATGTTCTTACTAGCAGCAGGGTCTGTAGTCATGACAGTGTCAGTCTGTTTGTCGCTCAGTGTGTCCAATAAGATATCTCAAAGGCTACTGGCTCGATTTCCACGGTTTCTTCTGTGGACATTCATTATCCCCAGAGGATAAGTCCTAGTCATTTCTGTGACCCTTGACCCTGACTGTGGTCTGTGACAGGGTATAGCAAAAAAACAACTGATAGGATTCTCACATATTCATGATCGCTGAGGATGAATCTTCATTTTAGGTAACAAAATATTTTGTGCTTATGATGCTTCTGCAAACGTCATTTTCAAACGACTGTACCTCCAACGGGACAGATGCTATTAAGTTGTAATGAAATGTTCAGACTACAGTCATGCTCCTCAGAGAATGAAACTTTTCTATATTGGTCACCTCATGAGCTTTCCTCGAGTGCCGCCCTCAGGATGAAACGGCCTTAATGCCACATGATAACAGTAGCTGTGTCCCGATTCAGGGCCCGCATCCTTTGCGGGATGCACGAAGGCATGATCCTTCATAGACCACTCAGGCCAAACCGTAATGAGAAGGTCTGGTCTACAGAGGAGTTTTGCTTTGCGTCACCAGCTGTGTCCTTGCCGTTGCGACGCAAAGCATGCCTCCTGTGACCTAGCAGCCTTGATAACATGTAACTTTTTCTTTCATAAAAACTTGAGGTTTTAAGGCCCTTGGTTATTTTTTAACGGTTGTATGATTAGCTGTTGAACTGAGCTGAAACACAATACTTACATTTAACAGTGTAATCCTCAGGCTCTCTGTCAGTGTTCTTTGCTTTCATTCCCTGCATGCAATGAATCTTGGGATAGGTTGGCCTTCTTTTCCACAATGGGTTTTCAAATGCAGCCCCTGAATTGGGACACAGCTTGTATCTCATAATCTAATAGTCAGATTGTCATGAAATTTGCTCTCAACAGAACAACATTTGTGACCCACATATTAATGTTGCAGTGTAAAAGAGCAAATTCTGGACCCAAAATGCAGAGCACAGCCCAGGAGGCAGGTAACAGTTACAAGGTAGTTTAATTGTAAACTTCAGTAAGATTGGGAGTGAAGAGAGGCTGCGATCCAGGCTTAGGCTTGGGTGGCGCAGATGGCTTGTAGGTTGACGGGATGGAACAGGGAAGCGACAGTGTGTACTGAGGTCCCAACTAAAAACCGGTGAGGGTCTGGGCTGAGCACGGAGCGAAAAATCTGAAGCACGAGGAAACCAAAGTTAGTCAAATAAAAAGCAGCAATGCTAAGAAACTAGACCTGAGAGTTCAGAGAGGAGGCCGTAGCATCTGAAGCGTGAGGGACACTGAATGATCTGGCAGAGACTAGTAGTGTCCTGGTGGGAGCTGGGACCAGGAAGCCACACCTAGCAGAGACACACATAAACACAGGAATGGACACACACACACACAAAGGAGGGGAAACAGAACCAGTGGAACATGAGACTTAATAACAGCTTTTACAGTTATGACGCTGTGCCCCCCCCCCCCCCCCCCCCCCGTAGGCCTTAGAGCGCATTCCGCTACTCCACCTGGACCGCTCTGTTTAGGGGCGTGTCGTACCTCAGAGACATGTCTGCTGGTTCAGTGTGTCATCTGCTGCTGTGGGGCTCTGTCTGAGGGGAACTGATGCTGCAGTGTCATTGTCTTTATAGTGTCATACGTAGGTGTGCCCTGACCCTGCGCAGATGGTACCTCATCTGTGGTTTTAGGCTTGTTCTGTTATTTCTCTCTCTCACCCAATCAGTTACTGGTCGTAGTGAAATAGTAGTTAGTGGTTGTAACTCCAGCTCTATGAATACATGCGTAGGTTTTTATCTGGACTGCAACAGCAGCATCTGGAATGTCCCTGACTGACTGACTCATATTTCTACCACTGGTCAGCTGAGGCCTCACTGAGTTTCTGGACCACACGGGTTCTATCGAGGGGGTGGGGGGGTGGGAGGGAGAGAGAGAAGTCATCTGTAACGAGGCTTCGTACTAACGACTACGACCAACTCCACATATTAAACAGAGGGAGTCAGACATAAAGACCTGCCTCTAATAAAAGTCTGTTACATTCTGGAGCTGAAGTAAATAAAGATGAAACTATTGTGGATCCAGACGGAGGCTGTGCTCTGTGTGAGAGACTGAAGAGAGGTCTCAGATAGTCTGTCTCCGGCCCCGGTGGTTCACCTGGTGGAAAGTGTGACATTTGGGTTTAGTCCTTGCTGCGATGGCTCCAGGTTTGAGTCCAGCCTGTGGCATTTTGTTGAGTGTCATCCTCTTTCTCTCTCTCTCTCTCTCTCTCTCTCTCTCTCTCTCTCTCTGATAAAGTAACTTTTAAATAAGAAAGACAGTCCATCTCTTCTAAGGTTCTCTCTGAGTGACCATGTTACAGTAAATCCAGCTGAAATCACAGCTCAGTCTTTGTCTTTCATTTATGTGTTTGCTGATTTTGTCAGAGGTGCCGTGGTCAGCGCTGTTGCCTCACAGTGGGAAGGTTCTGGGTTGTGTGTGTGGAGTTTTGCATGTTCTCCCTGCGCCTGCGGGGGTTCTCTCCAGGTTCTCCGTATTCCTCCCACAGTCCAAAGACATGCACATTAGGTTAACTGGCAACTCTAAAGTACCAATAGGTGTGAATGTGTGCGTGCGTGAGCGGTTGTTTGTCTCTATATGTCAGCGNTGCCTCACAGTGGGAAGGTTCTGGGTTGTGTGTGTGGAGTTTTGCATGTTCTCCCTGCGCCTGCGGGGGTTCTCTCCAGGTTCTCCGTATCCCCCCCCCCCTGCGACCCTACAAAGGATGGATGGATGATTTTGTCAGAGGATGTCATGGTTATAAAATCAGGATTTGACCACAGACAGTCCAGACAGATTCAGATGATTTATCCTGCTGAGCTCTGAAAGGAGGGGAGCAGCGTATGTGCTTGGGTTTTTAATATGGGATCCCAGTGTGCGGTCACTACGCCCTGATCAGGCCAGTACAAAGATCAGGGGGGCAATGCTCGTACTCATAGAAGTGGAGTTACATCCAGTAACTACCATTTAGCTATAGTGAACAATATTTCTGAAGACCTCTATGTGTAACAGGGATTATCACTTCTTAGATGCACTTGGATTGTCTCTTGAATGATTGATCCATGAGAGCCGTGGGGGTGGGGGTGGGGCTAGAGCCAATCTAGCTGATACTGGGTACACCCTGGACAGGTCGCTAGCTATCACAGGACTGACTGAATTATGAAATATGATAAATCATTCAGAGGGTTCCCCCGAGCCGACCGCTCTCCTCTGCCAGCGATCCCCTCTGTAGCGGTACAGGGAGGGTGATTTGGTGTGATATTCCTGTCTCTGTGAGTAGTAACATTAGATCTGTGCCACCTGTTACTGCACATCAGGACTGAATGTTTTGCTGGTACTACTCTAAACTGTGTGTTCATAGGGATGTTACATCTACAGTCAATGGCAACGGTACAATGAGGAGGAGGGGTTTCTATTTTTATATTCTGCCTGTAATCTTTGAAACATGCAGTGAAAATGGTTCAATCTGTGTGTGTGTTCAGTGGAGCGTTGCACCCCCCGGCAGCTGCCCTGTCCCATAAAGCAGACATATACTGCCATGTAAGCAGGGGTCCTGTAAAACCTTCCATACACTCAAACATTTACACAGGAATACAAGAGAATCATGCAGAGGTGAAAACACTCATTTTGATAGTGAATCTAAAATGTTGAAAACACGCAGGAACAGGATTCAGGCGCCCTGAAATAAAGAAGCAGTTTGATATACTGTTGTTAATCGGTTCATTCTGTTTATATATGTAGGGCGGGCAGACACCGAGCTGCTAAGGCATTTATCTGCAGGTCGACACCGCATCCTTGTATGTGTACAGACCACAGCACACACTGAGGGTCTGCCAGTAGCCAACCAGTAGTTTGGCTGTAGAAAGTCTGGATTACTACTGGTGCAAAGAGTGGATTGTTTAGTTTCAAAGAATCGGGGTGTATCCACCGTCATCTCATTTCTTTGTTTCTAAATATTTATAAAGAGTGACATATTTAAAGCTGCATGTAAAAAAACTTTTACTGAGTGCTGGCTCTGGGAAAACTCTCTTCCTGCAGATCTGTTCATCTGTATTGCTGTTAAATCCTCTTACTCTCTGTGAGAGATGACTGCAGTGTTGGTGATCACATGTATCATTATCTTGTCATCACTTACTCTCAATATATCAACACTTACTGTCCAGATAACTGTTTAAAGGTACTCGAAAAAATCTCAACAAATCATTTGTTTGTTTGATGGCATGGTGAGCTTGAGTCCACCTTGTTATTCTCATGATATCATGCACTTTTTAAACTAAATATAGCCTTAAACAGCAACATCATAGTTCTCTTTTAACTCTTTTTACTTCTGGAAAATAAATGCGACTGATGAAAATCTGTTACACACACCTTCGGTTGCTGTCATTAAATGTCATAATCTGACACCATTAGGATCAGTTAGTTAGGAGCTACACACAGCCTGACCGATGTGGAGGAATTTAGTAGAATTTAGTTAAGTAAAAACTTACAGTGAACGTGTGACTAAACTGTCATTCACTTTCTTTTTGTCCCTTTCCCGCCTCAGCTAGAAGAAGACCCAGCAGATAAAACTACAGATGAAGAAGGAGGGGAGGAGGATGAAGAAGAGGATGAAGAGACATCAGGAGGCGAAGATGACGATGAAGAGAGGTCATTACCTTGTGACCCTGATGAAGAGGTTTCCACGGCGACCAGAGCCAAGCAGCTGGCCGAGCGTCTGAAGGCCACAGCTCGGAAAGTTCTGCGGGACCTGGGGAGGATCGTAGCCATCAGCCTGCTGGCTTTGGCAGGTACGGTGATGTGTGTCACAACATTTCGCAGCACATGAAGAAGAAGACGCTGGTGTAAGCACAGTCCAGACAGTGGAACCTGGTTCACACCTCAAGCGCTCAGCTTGAAATGTCTTTTTGCTGATGCTGTGTCACCTTTAATTAGTTTGAGTTCAGGCGTCTGACACTAATTAGAACTGCACCACACAGAGTCATGATGTAAAAGCTATGACAGTTGAGAAATTAAGTGTAATTTTTTTTTTTCTGTCAAAAAATGACAAACCTTGTCAGATATAGTGCAGGAAACTTATAGTACACAAATGACTAACTTGTGCTCTTAAATTAATAGTTTGTTTGCATGAATTATCTGGGCCCGTATTTACAAAGCCACTTAGCTCTAAATGTAGCTCCTAAGTCTGGGAGAAGTTAGAAGCAGTGGAGAGGAGGCCTAACTCACTAAGACCAAATCACAAAGAATCTTAAAGGGCTGCTGTCGCTCACGTCACAGTGTTCTGGAAACCTTACACGATGCTGAATTACTGAAAAGACACGACTCCATAGCGACTGATGATCGCTGTGGAGTTTGTACAGGATTCATTGACATCTCCTACCAACCAAGACAGCACAATCAGTGCAGAAATTAAGTGTAAGTTGGCAGCGCTGTGTTACTTAGCAACAGAGAAAATGCAGCTTTATAATGCTGACAACTTGGAGATCTCCCAGCCGTCTGTAAGCCGATCTATTCACCAAACAACAAATGTCTCTGTAGACCCACATCAGAGAACAATTCATACCATTTCCTTTAGATTATTCCCTTAGAGTTTTTTTTTTTTCCATTGAGAGAATTGAATGTAAGTTTTTATAGTAAAATGAATTCTCTCGGGTCGACACAAACCTGATCATACAGATGCATTTGGGAGAACACACTGCTTTAGTAACAGCATCTAATCCGTTATTATTTCATTTGTATTCGTTTATTTCTCAGTGTTTCTTTATTATTACTGCGGGATATTGTGCATGTGTTTTCGCCGGCATGGACGGTCTCTCATCGACCAATCACAGTTTACATCCATGAGAACTGACGTCATCCATTGCAGCGCAGTCGCACTCTTAGCTCAGGAGTTTTCACTTTACCTTGGTAAAAGTTGGTCTCAGCAGCTTTGTGAAGAGGACTTGTGGAGGGAAATTTGTAGTTAGAAACTCTTCAGTGTGACTTAGGAGAACTCTTAATGAATATGGGCCCAGAACACAGTCCTAAATAATGTGACTGAAATTTGAACATTTAATGAATTAAAATAATACAATATTGAGTATTTGCATGCACTAATTCATGTGCATAAATTTAAGAACACAAACTCTTTTTTTTCCATTACACTTAACCATCTCTATAAAAGGTTGTGTGCCACAGTGGCTTCCAGTGTATTCAGTACAATGTCCATTTCCACAACATTAATTCCATGACTACAACAACAACACTCATGTCATTACTCACTGCTCTGCTGCTTCCATGTTCTCTTTTTAACAAAAGTGCTGTTCTCATGCTTTGGTTACATCAAGCCCATTTTCCCATGCCCTCATGGCGTTAAGCTATTGTCAGTGAAAATCAACACTTCCTGCAAGATACAGCCTGTAAATATGACTGGTTTAGAGAGAGACATTTTCCTCATGCTTCCACAGAACACAGAACACAGTACGGCTGCACGGGAGGCACAAACATGAAGCTGCTGTTTCTGTAAATGTGCAAAACATGTGTAACGCTTTGTACACCTTATACAGGAGACTTCCTTTAATTCTGTTATTTTCAAACACACACTAAATTCCAGGGATTGCACTTGTTTGACAGGAAGTGTTTAATTATCCAGTCGGCTACAGAGTGTGTCTCTCTCTGTGTGTGTCTCTGACCTCTCCTCCTTCTTCCTCCCAGGCATCACGCTGCCCTCTGCCTTCTCAGCCGTCTACTTCCTGCTTTTCATCGGCGTGTGCACGTGGTGGGCATACCACCTTCCCATCAGTCACCTGGGCTTCAATGCACTGTGTGTGATGGTGGGCTTCTTCACTGCCGGTCACATGGTTTGTCTGTACTTGTACCAGAGTCTGCTGGCCCAGGCCATGTTCCCCTCACACAGTCTGTGGGCCAGGTAAGACTGTAGCACACACTGTGCTAATACAAATGATTTCACTTATGTTTCACCCCCAGGACACCTTCATTCCAATGTGAGAGACAGGTGATATCTGCAGAAGCAACACGTTCACAATCACTGATTAAAAATCATATCATCAAAAATCACCATAACTTTAAACTCTATGACAGACACTAAGAGCTCTGTTTACCTGAAACAGGAAGCAGACAAACCCAAGTCTAAACTAAGACAGGCTGAATATATTATTAGTAAGAGGAATATAGTTTCAGCAGGTGGAGTCAGGAGGGTGTCAGCTCTGACCAATCACATGAGCTCGTCTCATCCCTTTTTAACGTAGCAATGTGTGTATATATATATATATATATGTATATATATGTAGAGTATATGTATACAGGGTTACTCCTCACGGGGCTTGAAGATGGGGATGCGATATCTCAGTAACACCTTGATGAAACTTCTTCAAATTTGGCACAAACATTCACTAGGATCCAGGGATGAACTGATTAGATTTTGGTGGTAAAAGGTCAAAGGTCAAGATCGCTGTGACCCCACAAAATGCATGTTTAGCCTTGTGAATGCAATATCTCAGTAACGCCCAGAGGGAACGTCATTGCTCACCTCTGTCACACTGTGACCTCACAAAACACTTTTCTGGCCACAATTTAACAATTTAACTCAAATGTCTATAAGGATAAAATGAAGTGTTGGCATTTTATATACAAAAGGTCAAAGGTCATCTTCACTGTGACATCATAATTTTCTGCAAAAACACTTCATTATTCAACAGTGTAACTCAGGAAAGAGAGATTTGACCATATTTCCTGATAGGTGGAGGGATACTGTGTGAGGTGTTTTTTTTTAGAACTGTCACATGATTAGCATGATAAGTAAACTGTTATTTAAAGTCCATTTCAGCAGGGTGGACAAAAACAGCACTGATGCTGATGGTGAGGACTTCAGTTGAACTGTGAATCAGTCATTTCATTAAAAAAGTAGCTTCCAAACAGAAGAGAAGGAAAACTAACATGGAGGAAGCATATCTCTGAAATCACTCCTTACTTGTTTCTTTTTCTCTGTGATCTCTTTACCGTACCACCATAATGCTTTCTGCCCTCAATGTGAAGTGCATGATATTCCTCAGCCACTGGAGTCAAAGCTCAGTCCCCTCTCAGGAAACCTACAGTATCTATTAAAGAGATCGTGTGAGTTCAGAGGCACAGAGGAGAAATCAGAAAGTGAATGTGTGAGTTAGAACAGAGGAATGTGAGGTAAGGGTGATTTCTGGACTGGAATGTGTGGAATGGCTGGCTGACTGTGACTCCTCCCCCAGGTTTCCCCTCCTCCTACGTCTCGTGCTTGTGTGCCCAGTCATAATCGGGTCACAACATTACTGGATCTGGACTCCCTGACAGGTCCAGATATTTATAATGCAGGTGTCTATCTGTTAGATGTCTGCAGTGCATCAGTGAGCCTCTAGGATCAGTTCACCAATAGTGAGTGAATGCAGAACGGCCTCTGGTGTGGGGCAAAACTGTTGGCGAGTGGAAAATCAGGGCTAAAATCGTGAACTGTGAACTTAGCATAATAGCAAGCAGCTGATACTTAATGACCTCACCGACCCTCATCAGCTAAAGGGCAGAAATGTGAACAAGTAGTGCAGCATTCCTCTATGACATACGATCTCTGTTTCTCTCTCATCTATCCTCACCAGAGTTCTTGCCAGGTGTGTGTGTCATCACTTAACCAGCTGTTAATCAATCAACACACACGCACGCACACACACGCACGCACACACGCACGCACACACACACACACACACACACACACAAAATGTGCTTGAGATGTTTGGATAAGTCAGGTGGAGCAGGTGTTGCCATGTGTCATGGATGACTCTCAGACATAAAGACAATAAGAATGAGATGACTTCACTGTGACTTTCATTGAGAGCAAACAACACGTTTCGCCTGTGGCTTTCTCAGGTTCACTCAGTCAAATTACAAGAGTCTTCACAGGTGCAGTACATACACACAAATAGGTCACATGACCAATCACCATCTTTTTCATGAATCATTTTTCAGTATTTTAACCCTTTTTTAAAAAGGTTAACATTTTCCAAAAGACATGAGAATAATATGACACATTATCAAAGATCACAGCATTATTAATATTACTAGAGTTACAAAAGTTATATAGTTATACAAGAGAACTACCTTCCATATACACAACTAGGTGCATGAAAAAAGTCAAATTTATCTACAGAGGTAGACTTTAGGTCGTACAGCTGTCCCTCTGCATCACAGTGGAGGGTGACTGTCAGAGGACTCCTAGCTCATCTGTCCCTAAGGGTCCAAATGAGCTGTGGCTAGAGATATAGTCCATAGGGTTTAATTGGTTTCAATGCAAAGCTCCTACATGAACAATATTAACTCAGGTTTTCTCTAAAAATGATGAATTCCTATTATTGTTGTAGGAAGTTTTACTTTTCTCCAATGTTTTTTCCAATAACCCACCCTCCATAGTAACCTATTCTATTTCAACTTGTGGACAGTGTTAATAATCCTGTTAATAATCATCCCCAACTCCTCTCTCTCTCTCTCTCTCTCTCTCTCTCTCTCTCTCTCTCTCTCTCTCTGTTCCTGTGTAGACTCTTTGGATTGAAGGACATCATCGTACCAGGAAACTGCTCCTCGACCTCTGACCTCAACCTCAATGCCAACCATGATTGGCCAGTTTATGTCAACCCAGGAATACTGTTCCTTCTCTACATCACCATAGTAACTGTTCTCAAGACAGGATGTCATGGAACACCTAACCAGGTATCTGCTACTTCTTATTTATTAGTGCTGAGTCAGTTTGTTGTGTCCATAGCAGAGTGTGGGTCAATTCTGTTGTTGCTTATTGTACAGTGGCCCTGAGAGCTCAACTGATATAATGATTGTAGCATTTTTTCAGTTTGGACATGTGTTTCCTCTCAGATGTTTATGTGTGTTCAGCAGGTTGAGGAGCAGGAGCAGCAGGAGAACAAGGAGGGGTTAATGGAGGAGATGATGGAGTTGAGGTCATGGAATCAACAGAAAGATGAACATGAAGCTGACACACAGGTAAATACTCATATCTCTGTCAGCTACTCATCAGACTCAATCTGTATGGACCATCGTGGTAAAGTGATAAAAGCACTGGTTCCTCCCTGCTCTTCTGGGCGCCAGTTCATTCATATTCATATTGAACAAACTTGAAATGCCATTCAAGCATCTACTTCAGATCAATTAAAATGAAATAGCACTTTTCCTGCAACATCATACAGATCTGCTCTCTGCAGCTGGAAAAGGACAGTTTCTCTACTGTCCTTTTCCAGCTGCTTTTTTCCACAGTAAGAAAGCCCCCAGGCAAAATATGTATCATAAGACACAAGACACTCACACGCAAAGAGTTTCAGGATAACATGAGAGTTGAAGATGTTGTTTTCCTTATCTACAAGCATGAACACGTGGTTGTGGGGTCATTGGGGGTAGGTCTGGAGAGGGTCACATGCCCAGGGGGGCATTGTGCTACCAGAGGTAGGAGTTGTGGTCCATGACAGGGGCTGAGTGTAACTGCACAGTTAGACCAACGCTGCCTGGCAAACTTTACTCACATAGTTTGGCCACGAACAAAGGGGAAGAGAAACAGAGGAGTTGGGTTGTAAACATCAAGTATATAGTAAATACTTGTATATAGTATAACAGGCTGTACGTCAGCCGACCAGGAGCAGACTGAGGAACAGGCTTGACATCGGCAGGGAAACCTCACGTAGGGACAGACAGGATGTTCTCAGAATTCCTCATATCTCAGGGGTCAGAATTCCTATCACTGAACAATCTCCTTCATCCAAATCAGTCGGGCAGCATGAATGTGCAGCTGATGAATCTGCAGAAATTATGTGATGCATCACGTCAACGTGGAGCAGAGTCTCAGAGGAAAGTTTCAACATCTGCTGGATCCATGACATGAGGAACTGAGGGAACTACCCAGTGTTAGCGTGCTGTTCCTAATAAAGTGCTCAGTGAGTGTAGTTACATAGTATTCCCATCATTCTGTCATTGCTGTGCATTTGTTCCAAGTATTTAGTTTGCTCTTGTTGACAACATGGACCAGTGGCAGCTGGAGGATGTCAAACAGACGTGGTTCTGAGACATCTATTCTCCGCGCCACACTCTGCACTTAAACACCAACACCTCGCCTAGCGCTGACTCATTTGAATGAACCTCCCTGGTGTTTGCACCTCTCCTCCCACATGTGCTCTGTGCTTGGTACCGAAATACTGCACAGATAGGCAGCACCAATTTGAAGGTCAACAAAATATCAAACTGTCGAGTGCCGCTTGTGTTAGTTGGTGCATGGCCTGAAAATAGGGCGCCAAGTCGCAGTCTGTAACAAAATATATGCACTATATATGTACAGATGAATGTCTGTATCCTAAAGTGTCTGTGGGTGTGTGCTCTACTGTTTCAGCTCATGATCCTGCCTGTAGGAACAGGAAGCAGCAGAGGAGGAACTGTGGCTGAGGAGAGTCAGACAGATCTGGGTATCAAAGTCTCAATCACTCATGTGACAGAAACTGTGTGTGTGTGTGTGTGTGTGTGTGTGTGTGTGTGTGTGTGTGTGTGTGTGTAGTTGATTGCAAATAATTTGGAAGAAGTCACTTGTGGCACAGAAGGTCAGAATGACTGTGGTTACTGGAGATTACATCTTAAATATTATTATCTAATAAAAGAACAGATTGTTCTCTCATTCACAATGAAGCAGTATATGTCATGTTTGAGGGAGATCAGCTGGACCCAAATGCAGACAACACAGAAAGGGGGCTGGTTCAAACTCAAAATCCAAAATGGAGGCAAAACCCAGGAAAAAACTGAAACACTAGGGAAACTAGTCGGGAGAAAAGCAGGAGCAAAACAAAAAATCCAAAAGGGCAGGAGCAGGAGACACGGGAAACTTCACGAAGGCAAACAGAGTAAAGCAGATGAACTGAGAAGACAACAGGAGCACAGAGACTAAATACACACAAGGGAGGCAAGGGGAACTGATCACAGGTAAAACACATCAGGGTGGGGCAGACAGAAACAAAGGAGAGAAACAGGACAAAGACGGGGGAAGTAATTTCAAAACAGGAAATTAACCAAAAAAAGAAAGACCATGACAGTACAGTGGTAACAATCCTGCTCCTGATAGCTAGCATAGCCTGATAGATAGATAAATAGCATAGGCGTGATTCATTCTGCAGGTCCTCGAATGGACATATTGCTTTGATTCAATGATGTAACAACAATAAACCACAAAGGGAAGGGATAAGAGATAAAACAAGGTCTAAAACAAGTGAGCAAACACTGACAATGAAGAAAAACACCTTGGGGTATACATATCAAATAACCAGGTAGAATATCAGGCCCTCCCATCCCAGCAGCACTATCTAGAGGTAATAAAGTAAGCTGTCTGTGCCGTGCATCTCAACTCTCCGTCCCGTTGATTTATTGATTTAGAACTTGTTGAATTCTTGGCAGGGCTCCTGATAATGTTCTCTCACACTGTTACATAAGATTCATTTACAAGTAGAATAGAAGATAATATAATTATTAATAGCAGATTAGATGATTACAATATTGACAGGTGTCTCTTAAATGAGAATTCCAGTTGGTTACCTCATTTTCAGAGCTTTGCATTTCATTTTGATAAGACTGTATTAGTTATTCGCTGAGATCTGTGACATCACAGTGACATCACAACAGAAGAAGTCAGACAGGTCATGAAACATGAACTGTCAGAGCATCAGGTAGGTTGGAGTCAAAGCTCCAGGTTAGACAAACTACATCTTTAGAGGGGAAAATAAAGGTGTAGTTTTTCAAGTAGACTTGTTGTGATATCAAATTCCCAAATCTCAGCTATTATTATTAAACTGTATAATGACAACAGAACCGATAGAAATGATGCCACAAGTGTAGAAATAAGAGCCAATCTGCAATAAACAGGAATCATCCTTTAAAGGTAACTTGTCATATATGATGATATAGACAACATTATATTTCTAGTTCATTGTCCTCAGCTGGTTTGATGTTAATCTCTGTCATGTTCTGTTCACTGAGATGACTGTTTGTTTTTGGCAGGAGTTAGTGGCGCCCCCAGAGGCCAGAAGACTGAAAGCCCGTTCTTCCTGTTGGGAAAGGTGGTCATGCAGCAGAGCTACGTCTGTGCTCTCATCGCCATGATGGTAACTATTAGAACCATGATTTTATATAATTATAAAGTGACACAGGACCAATACATTAAAGTCTGCTATCTCATATCATATCATATTCATATCTGCTCAATTAAGACAGCTGAGCTTAAATTAGTGGGTTATGAGAGTTCCTGTTCTTATGTGCCTTTTCCATGTTGTTCAGGTTTGGAGCATCACATACCACAGCTGGCTGACCTTCGTGTTGCTGCTGTGGGCTTGTCTCATCTGGATCCTGCGTGCCAGGTACAGTCAACACCTGCAGCTGCGACACCACAAAAGAAGAATCTGATCAGCTGATTGTCTTTAAATGTGACTGTTGCTCTGTAATGTCTTCATTCATTCCTACAGATATTGTCTGTGTCAGTTGTGTTGTGTAGATTTCCCAGGTGACATTGTGACTGAACCCACACTGATGTGTTGTGTATTCAGTGCGATGTCTCTGTTTGCAGACGGCATGCAGCCACACTGTGCTCTCCGTTCATCCTGCTCTATGGCCTGGCTCTGTGCTGTCTGCAGTACGTCTGGGCCATGGAGCTTCAGCCTGAACTGCCCACTACAGTGGGAACCATGAGCCTCAGACAGCTGGGACTGGACCGAGCTCAGTATCCCTGTCTAAGGCTGGGAGCTATGGTAAGATGAGAGCACAGACACCAGGTATTTCATGATGACTATATTAAATCTGCTGCCTTTTATGACATTTATCATTAAATATAAGCCTTCATCATTAACTCATAGCTTTGGAAAGTGGCTGTTGGAAGCTGGAGTGTGTGTGATACAAACCAGATCTAGTAGAGCTCATCACACCACACAGCACCATGAGGCACGAGCTCGCCTGGAACAGCATCTGTCTTGTTGACAAAATATCATGAGGTCAATTCCTGGCTGTGCCAGATTACATGCAGTATCACAGCCAAACTCAATAACAGTAAGCTTTATTTATATAGCACCTTTCAAAACACAGTTACAAAGTTCTGTACAAGACAAGATAAAACTGTGGACCAACAATAAAAAGGAATGATAAAAAAAACAAAACCAACAGATTTAAAAACAGTTTAAAGGTTTTACATTACAACATTGGAGGGATGAAAAGTGCGACAGTGAGGGTCAGTAAAAATAAGATAAATCAGTCTAAAATGATTAAATTGATCAATAAGAAACAGGATGATGACTTAATATAATGATAGATTTCAGATGTTAGAAGCAGACCCCAAGTTCTAGTTATTTTAGTTATATTTATACCTTATAAGTTCAGCAGCAGAAAGCTCTTCTAGACTCTACTCTTTTCCATACGAACACAAAACATGTCAGGTTTTATATTGTGGCAGTTCATTTAAATAAAGATCTGTGACTGGGCTCCAATTCAAAGTTTTATCCCCTCTATTGGTAATTTGCAGTAGGTTTAATAAACATGCTGGTTTGAACGGAGTAAATGGTCAGATCATTTTGCTGGTTAGAAACAGTTTCCTCAGCTTTTTAAAAACCCAGTGAACTGAATTCTCACTCACCATGTTTTTTTTTCTGTGGGTTTTTCCACCTCTCTGTCTTTTTATTACCTCTCTCTCTCTCTCTCTCTCTCTCTCTCTCTCTCTCTCTCTCTCTCTCTCTCCAGCTTCTGTTTACTTTAACTTTCTGGCTGTTGGTGCGTCAGTCAGTGAAGGAGAACTTCAGCAGGAAGAGGAAAATGGCCACACCACTACAGGAAGTCACTACAGGTCAGACATCTTTTACACACACGCACACACACACACACGCACACGCACACGCTCACGCACGCACACGCACACGCACACGCACACACGTGGTTTAGAGAACAGGCAGGGTGCGGTAGTAAAAGGGGGCAGGGGCAAGGGCGGGGGCAGAGACCCTTAACTATAATCCCTGACCCTTGTGTGCACAACTTCCGCCCTCTTACAGTCTGTGTACAGTGAATACAATGAAAGTATAATAAAATTGGATCTTCTCCATCATATCAAGATGAGTTTCTGATGGGAATAAAGGAGCTATTTGTAAGTTTTCCAATTGTTACATAGATTAACCATAGACTGTACATAAAGATGGTCGTAGCCTCTGTGACGTCACCCACAGGTTTCTGAAGCTCAGAGTGAGCTGCCCCACCATCGCCATCTTGGCAGTGTCTGACTCCGCCCCTAACTCCCAGCTAATCCAAAGATGGACAAAGAGACACTGTGTGGATCTGAGAATTAGGTACATGCCAGTTTGTGACAAGCATACAATGCCCCACCTGTCACTCAAAGAGGCCACGCCCTCAATTCTACATAACTTTAAGCCTCATAAAATATAAACAGGTGAGTTATATAAACAGGTGTCATGAAGGAGGAAATTAGCTCTGAAGACCAAAGCTGTTTTTGTACCAGGCTGTAAACATGTTTATTTCTGCTGTAAAGTTGGACATTTTAACATGGGAGTCTATGGAGACCGACTCACTGTTGGAGCCAGACTCTAGTGGTCATTAGAGGAACTGCAGGTTTTGTCACTTCAGTTCTGGCCTCATGTTTCAGCTTCGGAGGTTAATGCTTGGAGAAACCTTAGAAATAGCTCCTTTAAAAGTTTGCATTTGCATTGGATAATTCACAGAACACAGTTTTCTTGGAACAACTTTCTATCAAAGAAATATTAATGAAAACTATTGATGGCATGTTCTTCCTGACTATCCAAACACTTTTTCTGGACACTGTGCTTTTGAATTTTATAAATATAAAAAGCAAAAAGCCTCCTCAGACCATGTCCTGTCATTATCCTCCCAGATAATTAACCTTTTCAATCTATTGAACCATGCAGGTGTTTTTCTGCATGTACAGTATTTTCTTGTACATTTCTTTCTGAGCTCTAACCCCTCATCCACTCCTCCCTCTCTAACCTGTTACCCTTGACAGCAGAGGCGGCTGGTAATGAGTCAGTGCTGAAGGTTCTGGGAGGCATGGTGATGAGCTGTTACGCCAAATACTGGATTTACGTGTGTGGAGGGATGTTCATCATGGTCTCCTTTGCTGGAAAACTTGTTGGATACAAGATCATCTACATGCTGCTGTTCCTGCTCTGCCTCTGTCTCTATCAGGTAGGAACAGGCCCACAGATCACTGGATTCAGGTTCTCAGACCCCCAGTGATCAGAGTTCAAAGTATTTTCCCTTTTTTTTGTTATGTGCTTTGTGACAAAAAGTTATGTTGTGACAATTTAGTTTCCAGGCAACATACAGTATATCTGCAAATAGCTACAACAGTCGAGGAACAGTGACTTGACTAACGCTTGCTTATTTTTTCCAGGTGTACTATTCTCTCTGGAGGCGTCTGTTGAAGCTTTTCTGGTGGCTTGTTGTGGCCTACACCATGCTGGTGCTCATCTCCATCTACACGTACCAGTTTGAAGACTTCCCTCAGTACTGGAGGAATTTCACTGGTTTCACAGAGGAACAGTACGTTTCTTTTTAATTGAGATTGAGATTGTCCGGCTTCTTACTCATTTCTATACTAAATTGAAACTTCTTTTATATTCACACATTACCTCTTTGAGCTGTGCTCATAGTCTACACAGCGCAAAACATGTGCTGAAATGAACTGCTGGGTCCTTACTAATCCTGTTTCTTCACCTGGGACCAGATTTTCCATGTGGTAATTAAACATGTTAATTTAGGTGTTAGAAGCAGTATATAACTGAAATAATGAAGGTGCACCCTGTCGTCCTCAGGCTGGCAGCCATTGGTCTGGAGACATTTGCTCTGTCTGAACTCTTCACCAGTATTCTGATCCCTGGCTTCTTCCTGCTGGCCTGTATTCTGCAACTGCACTACTTCCACAAACCCTTCATGAGAATCACTAACCTGGAACACGTCACACCTATACACAGGTAACACAACATACAGTACACACTACTACTACTCATGTCAAATCAAAAAGTTTTTTGTTTTATATTGCAGGAGAGAGGAATGAAGTGTCTAGAAGTTGACTAACTCACGCTGTTGAACTTAACTGTTTATTCAGCCTCACGGTCATACAAAAGCAGACTAGCACTCAGCACTTAAGCTGCTGTGACTTAGCTTAACTTCGAACATACAAGGAACTGAAGTCCCTTCTTAACTGTAACACATACATTCCACAGACTGCAGTGACCTCTAGTGGCTAACTTAAACAGAGCCATATCTAAATCACATCACATAAAGACACTGGCAGATCTGAATGGCATGTAAAAAAACAGAAACACCAGAAACTAGAAATGAGACATTACACTTCCTGTAGCACAGCAAGAAAAGCCCCAATAATAAATAAAGGGTTTCAATCCACTGAAACGCGAGAGGGCTTTTAATTTGAAACGATTATTTACACATAATGCAGTAACCTTAACACGACAGATGGGAACGACTTAAAACAAGGCTTCGACCTGTATGAGCACCTATATCAAACACAGGGAGTTAGAAACAAAGACCTGCCTCTAATAAAACTCTGTTACCTTCTGCAGTTGAGGTAAATAAAGGCCGCAGTCACTTTTTGAGGAAAACAGTCGGCTAGATGAAAACTGTCGTGGATCCCAAAGAAAGAAAAGAAAGATACTGTGTCTCTTCTAACTTTCTCTCATGTGGTGATGTCACAGTGAATCCATCTGAAATCACAGCTCAGTCTGTGTCTTTAACTGATGTGTTCGGTGATGTTGTCAGATGACGTCGTGGTTATAAAATCAGGATTTTAGCAGCAGCTTGAAAGTGACTGCTGGTTAACATGCAGCCTTCTAGACAACAGGAACAGAAAAACATGAGAACAGCTTTATTGTGAATTTCGCTGCATTAAAATACTGTATATGTGAGCACAGAGAGGAGGAGAGAATAGGTATATGTGATCCAGCCATATACTAGGTTTTGACCTAGTTTTTATTTAATTGTGTCTTTAAAGAAAACAGGGTGAAGATAATAATAACTCCATCTATTGAAAGCGAAGACAAAAAGCAGCTGATGATGCTGCTGCTGCAGATCAATCACACTATCTCCAAGTCATTTAAAAAACAGTTTAAAACTCATACAAATACCTTATGATGTTTCGCTACTAACATACAGTATGTCAAACTATTTCCCATTCTATTAGTTGACAGAAGTAAACTGAAATAATCTAAGCCCAATGGAGCGCAGGAGACACAGAAAAACATTTTTCATCTTATCTAAGGCAATATTTACCTAATCCTTGTGAAATCAGTTTGGCAGACAGAGGTCATGTAAGTTTCATCCATTTAACTTCAAATGTTGTACATTTGCACAGATTTTTTTTTCTTTTGTAATTTTATTTTTATTTGTTTCACTTAAAAAAAAAAAGTACCCCATCATGAATCAAAAACCAGAAATTGAATAGGACGATCCAGTCTCTTTTAAATGACATAAATCACTTTTTTTTTTCATGAGTGATGTGTTAGTCTGGAATCATTTTCCATCGTCAAGTATAACCACACAATCTGCCTCCAGGAAGAAGAACAGCGAGAGAACTGCGCAGATTGGCTCTGGTAATGTGGGCGGGGACTTTGAAGAGGAGGAAGACCTGGTCACTAACATGGATGAGGAATCTGAAGATGAAGGTAAAAAAAAACAAAAAAACAACATTGGCAGTTTATATTAAAGACACATTTCACAGTTAATTTGTTGCGTATTGACACACAAATCACAGTAAATCATTTCATGTTGTTTATGATTACAAACTACTAACTGACACAAATCAAAGTGGGAAAATGATCATGCTTAATTTAGCAGGTTTGCATTCAGGTCGTCATCAGAATAGTCAACAACTGTACTGAAGTAAAAGTTTGTTACTTCCTCCTGTATAATGATTATGCATGAACTGAACAATACAACAGACAGCCCTTCAAATCTTAACCATCTACTTTCTATATTGTAGCTACAGCCCCCAGTTCCCCTGTCAGTCTCCCGGTTATTCTCTGATAATATAAAGCTTTGGTGGGGAAGACAAAATATAGATAATAATAAAAGCTTCTTCTAAGAACTTGCTGACATGCGTTTTCTATTCATTTGACTGTTAGTGACCTTGAATGTTTTTATGTCAGTGCACTCAAGATCACAAATGTTTCTTAAAGGCCTGATCTGAGCTGATTTCTGCTTCTCTGTTGCTTCCTGTCTACTCCTGTCTAATCCTCTCACTGTCTTTGTTTATCCGTTCTCTCTCTTCCTTTGTTAAGTGGAGTTGATGCCCAGTAAGTGGGGTCTGGTGATGGACAGGCTACTGGTTCTGTCCAGACGATTCTCTGACATTCTCACCAAAGTTCAAGTGTTTCTCTGGATGCTTCTGGAGCTCCACATCCTCAAGATGGTGGCCCTGTTCTCTGTCTGGGTTGCACTCGAAGAGGTAAAAGCAGTGGGAGTGGGTGTTGTGTGTGCAAATTAGATACCTTTCAGTCAATTGTGCCACAATTATGGTATGTAATTATACTCGAAGTGAGTGAGTTTATTGATTGTCATGTTAAGTGAGACTGTCCTCATCACTTTAAGGTTTGATTGTTGCTGCAGAGGTAGAATGTGAACAAAGTAAATACTACAGCAAATAGCTGCAATAATCTTGTGGATACAATGTGGATACAAGCACCAAAATTGGTATGTTTATCCCTCTGGGAAATCCCAATAGCCACTTGAAATTTCACGATGGCCACCATTTTTGGCATAGAAAACATATCTTACCACAGAACTTTACCCACGGGACAGATTGAAATGATTTTGTAATGTAAACCTGTTTTAGACTATGAGGATGTCAAATTCACAACTCTCACATTTCCTCAGAGCTTTATTTGTGCAGTGTCTAATATGTAATGTGAAAAATTCTGCATAAAACACAATGTATTTGTAAACCATTTATTATGAATGATGAACCAAAAGTTCTGGAAGAGTCGACGGTCTACTTGCTCACTTGTCTTAACATTAGCTCACTAGGCTAACTGGGTAGCGCTGGGCTAGTTAGTAAGCTTTTTTTTGTGAGTAATATTTTTTGTAAGTAATCTTTTTGCTGAAATATACTTTCATTTCATTTCTACTTTGTTAAAATGTTGGATTTGACACAAGGATTATTCATATGAGAAAATAGTGGATGCACTCGCAAAACATAAAATTTCCTTGCCAGAAATGGCGGACATCTTGAATTTGTTTCATCAAAAGAGTAATACCCAAGGAGGATTTGTGCCAAGTTAAGCATTTGTATCCACTTTTCAATTTTTTTTTCTTTTTTCTTTTCCCTGAAATATGCAGTAATCTGCTGCTGCGCTGAAAATACAGCATGTCAGTAGTGGACTGACCAGTAAAGAGAAGTGATTTATGTAAGGCTGCTGCACTAGACGAAACATTTACAACACAACCGCTGAGGGGGCCACCCACAGCATGAGCCACAGGCCCAAAACACAAGTAGAAACCTGAAGAACTTCTTTGGCTTTCATAGGAATAAATGCCAAAAATGGATGGATAGATGGATGGATGGATGGATGGATGGATGGATGGATGGATGGATGGATGGATGGATGGATGGATGGATGGATGGATGGATGGATGAATGGGCCACCATTTTAGAACACTTGATATTAGTCTGAGAGATGCATGGTCTGCACATACTGTATATGATAATTGACATAAAGATCTTCTACATTTTCATATTTGCACTATGATCTAAATGTTTTTCTTTCTCTTCTTTGTCTACAGCCGTCTGTGATGAACCTGGTCCTGGTGATCTTGTGGTCTCTGGCGATGCCCTATGGTCGCTTCAGGCCCATGGCTTCCTGTCTGTCTACAGTCTGGGTGTGTGTCATCATCGTGTGTAAGATGCTGTACCAGCTCAGTGTTGTCAACCCTGTCGAGTACTCCAGTAACTGTAGCCTGGTAAGACACATATCATAACACACCATCAACACTATCTGTTTTATTCAGTTAGTCATTAATACCAACACACAGTCCTGGAGGAACACCAGGATAAGAGCAGCAGCCCACAACCTCATCACCTGGGCTGTTGTACTGTCAGGTGTAGTTCCTGGTTAGCTGGTCTTCCTCTAACCCATTTTCTGTCTGGCAGCATCACACAGTAGAACTACTTTATTCAATCAATCAATCAAACTTTATTTGTAAGACACTTTTCATACAGGTTAGTGCAGTTCAAAGAGCTTCACAGATGAAAAGAAAAGGACAAATCAAATAAGAAATCTGACAGTGAGATGCAATAAAATAAATGAAAAAAGATACAATTAATAACAAATAAGAAAATTAACAAGAATAGAACAGATGAAATAGAATAAAATACAATTTACAAAATAATCAGGATAAAATAAGTGAATAAAATAAAGTGACTAATGACTAAAAAGCATATTTAAGAAAAGCCAGGCTGAAGAGGAACATTTCGAGTTTACATTTAAAGCTGCTCTCAAGTCAGATTGTTCCACTGGCTCTTAGCATAAAAGCTAAAAGCTGCCTCACCACAGGTTTGAGTCCTGCGCTTCAGAACAACCAACAGACTGGTACAAGTGGACCTGAGGGGCCGTACTGGTTCATATAGTGTCAGCATGGGGGACATATCTGCCGGTGCAAGGGCTTTAAAAACAAAGAAAAGGATTTTAAAATCAAAACAGAAGCTGACAGGAAACAATGTAGAGACTTTAACACAGGTGTGGTGTGTTCTCTCTCTTATATAGAATTTTATTAAAAGTAAAAGTCCTGTATAGTCACTGTTTAGTGTGTCTGAGAAACATCATGTTTTGAAACTAAGCTCTTCGGTCTTCTTTGCAGCTTGTAGCATTTATGTTTTAGCAGAAATGCTGCACATAAAATCAATTTGCTTGAGTTTTCATTTCATTATGAATGACACACATATTTTACTGTTGCAGTCAAGGTGCCACTAATTTTAAATACTTTATACACTGTTGGTTAATACAAATCAATAACACTGCAGCATATTATTTAAACACACCATGTATTTTTATGTCAAATCTTAAGAAGTTGAAGAAGAGAAGAAGAATAGAGGTAGTCAGTCTGTGAAATTGTTCTTATGTATAGTGCTTGTAATAAATATGCTTAGTTAATTTCCAACACTATATAGTCAAATACATGACCAGCAGTGATATAGAGTGGTGTCTGCATCTGTCTCAGGCATGGATAAGTAATATCACATGTAGTGCTTCGCACTGAGGCTCTGAATGTCTGGAGAGTCCCCTCTTTCACCAGAGCAGCATTTTACTCACTGATGAATTCAGAGATGTGCACAGTGTTTCTGGAGTTCAGCAGACATATAGCAACCTTACTCCTCTAACAGATCAGGAACAGGAGTCTCTCACAAACATACCACATCAAAGACAGAAGCTTTATTAGAGCAATGCTTTGGCACTTTTACGAGTTTGTCTCCTTCAGTAAAACTAATAGCTGTTAAACGCACACACATGCCAGCTGGGAAGGTTTGCTAACTCTTGTATTGTTGTAGAGATGAATCTAACCTCTGTGTCTGCAGTTTAGGTTGTTTACAAGGCAGCAGACTGAGTTTTTCCATGCTCATGCTGAGCCAGTGTTTACTCTCTGCACACTTTCTTAGAGGAACATTTCACCTAAAAGTGGAAAATTTAATGTGGCGCTCAGTAACAGATCTTGATGAAATCATAACATCACAGGAGGAAATACTGCTTTTATTTGAGACCTGTTTTCAGCAGTGGATTAAGCCACATTTGGTCAAAATAAACTAGTGAGTGTACACACCAGTTCAGTCAAACTCATTAATGTTTTTGATAGTTTTTGGAAACAATGGAGCTCTGGAGCTGGATTCCCAGTTTGAATTTAAAGCAAGTTAGTCTTATATGAACAAATTATGCTTTAACCATGCTAATGGACAGAGTTTCGAATGGATGGATTGATAGATAGATGAATGGATAATGGATAGATGTATGAATGGATAACGGATAGAAGGGGGGATGAATGGGTGAATGGATGGATGGATAATTGATGGAGGGATGGATGATGAATGAATGGATGGGTGGATGGATGGATGGATGTTTGGATGGATGAATCAGCTAAGACAGCTGGTGTTGTTATAGAGTAACTTGACCTCCATTGGGAGATGTGAGTGATAAGGTGTTGATTTGTCCATGAATCTGTACCTTTCCTCTTTTCTTAACAGCCATTCACAAATAAAACCAACCTGTTACCAGAGGAGATGATGAACTCGTCTCTGTATAAGGAGCCAGTGGATCCAGCCAACTGGTTTGGCATCAGGAAAGATGCCACAGTACTGGGATACAGCAAGGTACATTCAACGTACAGTTTGTTTCCTATTTGGTTGAACAATGTAAATGATGACTGGAGCATCTTTCAATTCCGATAGTTAGTGTGATATCTGCCTCCTTCCCCGTGGTTCTGAGGAAACATGTTGCTGTTGAATTTGAATGTAGTTGTATTGGGGTGAAGGGAGAAACTTCCAAACCCTGGGATAAGTAAAATCAAAACCGTCTGCATGACTACATCCAACCTTTAAAAGTTTACTTTTCCTCTGTATGTTGAGTCTGCTGATCTGTTAACATGCTTTGGCTCCTGATTGTTTTTTTTTTGCAGAACCATTTAATAGTGCTGATGTTGTTGGTGTTTGAGGCGACAGTGTATCGTCACCAGGCTCACCACTACCGTCAGCTCCAACGCTCTCCCCCCACCATCCCTGCTCTGTTCCCTGCCGCCACCAGGGACTCTCTGGACCAGGGCCTCATACCCTGCTTCAAGTACCTGCTCAACTATGCTTTCTACAAGTTTGGATTAGAGGTAGCTCTGAAACATCACTTGACTGTTGAACCAGGGCTTTTTGGAGCAATGTTTAAATATAGAGCTGTTGTAAACAGAGTTTTTTTTTATTGCAATATCTTTTAGATATTATTGAAAAGATGATGCAAAGTTTATGTTGAGTTTCTCTAGTAGACTGTTCCAGAGCAGAAATGGTTTTGGCTGCAAAAAAGTTATAAAATGACATTTTTTTTTCGATTTGTATAAAGATTTGTTTCCTGATGACGGTGAATGTGATTGGCCAGCGAATGAACTTCTTGGTGATAATCCATGGCTGTTGGTTGGTAGCCATCTTGGTGAAGCGCCGGCGGGCAGCTATCGCCCGGATCTGGCCCAAATATTGTCTCTTCCTGTCCATTTTCATGATCTACCAGTACTTACTGTGTGTGGGTATACCTCCTGCTCTCTGTATAGGTGAGTCCTGATATGAAGTTAAGTGCAACAATATGATACACAACCACAGTAACATTTGCTACTGTAGTTGCATAGGTAGAGCACCTGTACCCTCCGTTAGGGAATAGCACCTATATTGTTTATGAACGTATTGTTCTCAGTTTATGAGATACACCTGTCAAATCTAATGGCATCCCGAACAGTCACCATGCAAAAATCCCATTTTTGGAAAGTTTGTGGAGAGCTGAAGTCATGTCACACTTAAATCTCTGACACAACAGCTTTTGGTTCTCATTGTATTTTCTCACAGGCGTCTCTCATGCCTTTCTTGAAAAGCTGAAACCTCCTACTGGGGTTTTCTCTTCATATTTCAGTTGTTCCTAGACTTTGTTTCTTCTCTGCGGAAATAATCTAACCCCACCCTAGACTTATAACTATTGAAAAGATTTGTCAGTCCCATTTATCGGCACAGAATAATAGAAACACTTGCCATAGGTGTCTTCTGGGCCATTCTTTGTACACTTTGAGAGGCAGAGCAGTTTTACAGTGCTGCTGATAGCAGCCTGATATCAAGCTTAAAGTCAGTGTACTGTGCTCTTCAGTCCAGTCTGGTCTGGGTATCATCCATAATTCATTTGTAATTTAAAAACAAAATAAATATAAATTTGTTTTAAAACCAGAATAGAAAAAACGTTTTTTGGTGTCAGAATAAAAAAATGAAAAACCAATGAAAAACAAACAAAAAACCAGAAAATCCAATTTTGGTTTTTGCAAATTAAATTTTTCATTTTCCATTTAGCAAAAACAGTAGAACAGTGGACAGACAGGAAGAGGAGGCAGGTGATAGCCAGAACCAGTACTTTGGTCACAAAGTTCAATTATCTCATTTACAATATATGTTGTTTAAAGCAGACTTTAGACATGCTCCACATGACATCACATAGCACTCTGCTGAAGGTTCACTATGAGAGTTGAAACAGTGTTACATTGTGTACTGTGCCTACCTACCTGTACCTACCTGTACTTCCTGTGTGTCTCCTGCAGACTACCCATGGAGGTGGAACACTCCAGTGTTGATGAACTCGGCTCTCATTAAATGGATCTATCTGCCTGACTTCTTCACTGTGCCTAACTCCAAAAACCTCATAGGTCAGTTTGTCTGAATATGCATCTGTGTGTCTTTGTCTCTGTCTATTCATTCATTCATTCATTCATTCATTCATTCATTCATTCATTCATTCATTCATTCAGCTCATAGTGTAAGTGATTGAAATGAATCAGTGAATGAGAACAGTATTTAAAGTGATTGAAAAAGAAAGTGAGAGCAGTAGAGTGAGTATGACATGGCTGTGCTTCTACATGAAGCTGAATTATACCTGTCAGCCATGAGCAGATCGTTTACATGTAATACTTTTCTATTACCCAGCCTTTTTTTGTTATTTTGTTGTCATAGCTACAACTCTTATGCTAAAGTTTCTTTAAAATAAATACATTAACGTAGTTGGTGATTAGAAAGCCTTTATTGTCATTGTACAAAATATACAACAAAATATAGAATGCTACTCCTGATCACTGCAAACAGAAACACAAGTTAAGGACACAAAAATAATTTTGCACTTAAAATTGAATAAATCTTTAAAAGAAGCTTTGCTGAGTAAGCTATTATTTACAGTGAATATTAAAATACTGATACTTAAAACAGCTCAGCAGATGATGGCAGTCCTTGTATCGTGCACACATTTAAGGAATTCATAGTTCTTGTGGCCCAGGGAAAGAAACTATTTTTAAGTCTGTTAGTCCAGCTTTTGATGCACCTGTACAGCCAACCAGAGGGCAGGAGGTTGAACAGGTGGTGCCCAGGATGGAAGGGATCCTTAATTATTTTTCTGGCTCTGCTGAGGCACCGAGAGCAAAAGATGTCTTCCAGGGAAGGCATGTTTTTGGCCGTTCTTGATGACCCTCTGCAAACTAAACAAAACTGTTTAGTTTTAGTGAAGCACTCTCAGAAAGTGAATTCGCTGCTGGGTGACCAAAACAAAAAGAAACAGCGCCCTCATGTGTGTAAACCAGTTTGATCAATGAGTCCAGACATGTGAAATGTTTCTGCACCTTCAGCAGCTCAGTTCATCTTTATTTAAGTCAGTGTCACATGAGCTCAGCCCAGAGTACCAGAGTGAGGCAGCAGTATACTTGAGAAGATGATGGTGAGGATGATCATGATGATAGGGATGAAGATGAAGATGAAGATGAAGATGAAGATGAAGATAAAGATAAAGATAAAGATAAAGATAAAGATAAAGATGAAGATGAAGATGATGATGCTGATGCTGATGATGCTGATGCTGATGATGAGGATGATGCTGATGATGAGGATGATGCTGATGCTGATGATGCTGATGCTGATGCTGATGATGATGATGATGCTGATGCTGATGCTGATGATGCTGATGCTGATGATGAGGATGATGCTGATGCTGCTGATGCTGATGATGAGGATGATGCTGATGCTGCTGATGCTGATGCTGATGATGCTGATGATGAGGATGATGCTGATGCTGCTGATGCTGATGCTGCTGATGCTGATGATGATGATGATGATGATGCTGATGATGATGCTGATGATGATGCTGATGATGATGCTGATGATGATGGTGTATTGTGTTGTGTGTGTGTCCACAGCGGACTTTGTGCTGCTGATGTGTGCGTCTCAGCAGTGGAAGGTGTTTGAGTGTGAGCACACTGAGGACTGGATGGTTCTGGCAGGAGAGAACACAGACGAGCCTAACCCAATGGAGGGACGACTGTTTAACCCTGCACCCAACTTCATTAACTGCAGGTAAACACACCATGTGCCTGTCTGTCTCACTGTCATACTGACACCAGAGAGAGGTGTACCTGGTACACCTCTCTCTGGCAGATGGATCATGTGACCACACAGAAATGTTATGATAAGATTTTTTCCCTATCTTGAACACTAAGATATGTAAGTAGTACATTTTACAGTTACAACAATAAACATCATGCAAGTTCCACTCAACAGTAAATCTCACTGAGCAGTGACATACATCAAATGTTGTATATATCCAAGTCATGAATAGAAAAATAAGATATAATTATATCTAACTGCAGCCTATGATTAAATTCACTGAACTCTTATAAACACTGTGATTTTTAGCTTTAACTATGTAATGAAGACACACATATCTGACATTTCTTTATCACAGTGTCTTATTTCATATCAATAGACATAGACACACATACATAGACACAGACATACATTTGAAATGAGCTAAGATCAGATCGTGTCCACTAGGTGGTCTGTGCTGCACTATGGACTAGGCAAGTTTATTTATTCAAAGTGCTTTACAGAGGCATGGAAGTACATGAACATAGAACATTAAGGTGACTTTAAAATAGCAAACAATAAAACAGTAAAAGCACATTTCAATAAATACATATAAAAATATTTAATTGCATAAGACCAGGTCGGAAGCTTAGGACACCATTTTAAAAGGGGTGCTGCAATGTTAAAAGACATACCGACAAGCAAATGCACAAGATTAAAAGATGTCATGTATGTGATTTATGGGAGAGCTGCAGCAAACAGTGATGTTTTATGTCCTGATTTAAGGACATTAGAGTTTAAGCAGGTGTTCAGGAAGCTTGTTCCACAGGTGAGGAGCAGAGAAACTCAAAGCTGCTTCACCTGGCTTTGTTCTGATTCAGGGAACACAGAGTGAACCTGTCTCAGAGGACCCGAGGGGCCTGGATACTTCATATTGAACAAATAGATCAGAGACGTGTTTGTACCCGAGACCATTTAGGTCTTTATAGACAAGCCAGACTTGCGATGTAAGGAGTGGTGTGACGTGCTCCTCTTATAGTGAGGACTCTGCACAAGCTGCAGCTGAGAGCTGTGAAGACACCGTTACAATAGTCCAGTCTGATGAAAAGAAATGCAGGACTAGCACTTTTCTTTTCTTATCCACCATTCAAAGTGCTTTACACTTCAAGTCATATTCACCCATTCACTCACACATTCACTCACACATTCACTCACACATTCACTCACACAGCACTTTGAGTATGCATCTATTACACACATACACACAGATGATACATTGGGGATAATTTGGGGTTGGGTATCTTGCCCAATGACAGCTACATATGCAGACTGTTCATTATTAATAGAAGCTCATCATGCAGAAGCTAAATGGCTGAATGTTGGACTCACACTTTAAATTCTGACTTGGTCCCCCCCCCCCCCCCCCCATACCCCTGCGAGCATCCTCGACAGTAAATAAGGCGGTAATGCTAGAGATGAAATCTGTCTTTCCCTTCGTCCTCCAGGAGTTACCTGGACATGGCTAAAGTTCTGGTGTTTCGTCACCTCTTCTGGTTCGTGCTGTCGGTGGTCTTCATCACTGGAGCCACCAGGATCTCTGTGTTTGGACTGGGCTACCTGCTGGCCTGCTTCTTTTTCCTGCTGTTTGGAACCCAGCTGTTGGTCAAAACCTCCAGGACCCGTCTGGCCCTGTGGGACTGTCTCATCATCTATAATGTGGCAGTCATTATATCTAAAAACATGTTATCAGTAAGTATAGATATCATGGTGCTACGGTGCTAGTGTCCAGGTTTCTCTGACTTTTTGTCTTCAGTAAAATATGTTACTGAAAGAATTTGCCATTTTAACAAATGGTGGCAGCTACTGGGAAATGTGTTCTAACAAATCAGAAACTGGGAGGTGATGAAATTGAGTAAAAACAGACTCAGTATGTGAACAGAAGGTACAAAGACAAACCAGCTTCACTGATGCTGAATGTTGTAGGTAAGACATTCTAATAAACCACACTTCTCCATAGTTACGGTATCGATTAGTAACACCATGTCAATTCTGATTATTTTGTGCAACGAGCCAGTGAAGAGAACACAGATTTGACCATTTTAAATCTCCGAACTAAGTGAATCAGCCATCATGCAATGTTAACATCATTCAGTTAATGTAGAATCTTGGTTTTTAGTGTCTTATCAAACCATAATCTCACAACCTGACCTGGAAAAAGTCATTCATGCGTTCATTTTCTCAAGACTGTAACTCCCTCCTCTCTAGTGTAGTCTTAAAGTCTCTCTCCCCCCTCCAACTAGTTCAGATTCCAGCAGCTCAGATTCTTACAGGTTTTAACAGACACATCACATCACCCTGATCCTCGCTTCCCTTCACTGGCTCCCTGTCTGTTTTAGATTTGATTTAAAGATTTTACTGATCACTGTTGAAGCACGCCCGGGGGCCTAGGAGCTGCCAGCCAGTACGCAGTTTTAGATCCTCAGTTCAGGCCCTTCCGGTTGTTTCAAAGTCGAAGCTTGACCGTGCTTTTTCCATCAAGACCCCTCAATTTTGGAACGACCTGCCCGATGAGATGAGGCTGAATCAGTGACTTCTTTTAAATCACTTCTTAAAACTGATTTTTATATCATCTAGTCTCTGTAATGTAAAAAAGTATATTGTACATCTTCCCTCTTAACTTCACCTTTTCTCTGTTTTTGCGCCTCTTGCCATTATTGCTTCTGCCTCGATTGTCAAAGGGCTTTGTAAACTGTAAAAACAGTGACCTGTCCAAGGAAACACTGACTTGTGTGTTTCTCTGTGTTTGTGTTTCAGATATTGGCGTGTGTGTTTGTGCATGAAATGCAGCAGGGCTTCTGTTGGGTGATTCAGCTCTTCAGCCTGGTTTGTACAGTCAAAGGATATTATGACCGTAAGTGTTTCAATAATGATAATATCACACCGCAACAATGATCATCTATACATTAGGAATAGTATCTGTATGAATTAATCCAAGAATAATTTATGAATTTATTATGTTTTGTACTGTATCTATATTTATGAAGGACAAGGGATTTGGTATTAAACAGTGTTGAGTCTGGAACATTGAGCTTTAAATATTATATTGCTTTTTTGTATCATGTCATGTCTTTGAAATAATGAATAGGTATTGCTTTCACATGTTGTTCAGATATCTTCAGCACAACGTCTTTTTATCTCACTCTTTGTCTCTGCATGTTTTTGTTTCCTGACAGCAAAAGCAGTGAGTGACAAGACCTGCAGCCTTCCTGTGGAGGAGGCGGGAATCATCTGGGACAGTATCTGTTTTCTCTGCCTGTTACTGCAGAGGAGAGTCTTCCTCAGTTTCTACTTCCTGCATGTGACAACAGAGCTGCAGGCATCTGCCAAACAGGCCTCCAGGTAAAACATAATGCCCCAAGCCTGCCATGCTGGCACAACTGCTTTGCAAGAAAAAGGACAGTGAGACTGATAAAGTGAGAAAATGCGGGTCGACTTGAGGTCTCTACTGCACTGCTTACTGCTTACTGACATCCCTAACTCATAAGTTGCTTTTGGTAAAAGCGTCTGCCAAATGAGTAAATGTAAATGTAATTATTATTATTTATTGGGGGGCTCAGGAGATAGAGTGGGTGGTCCACTAACCAGAAGGTCGGTGGTTCGATCCCCGGCTCCTCCAATCCACGTGTTGAAGTATCATTGGGCAAGTTACTGAACCCCAAAGTGCCCCCGATTTATCATTAGTGTGTGTGTGATAGAGATGCATATATAGCTGTGTACATAGCAAGTATGAATGTGTGTGTGAATGTGTGAATGTGAGTCAGTAGTGTAAAGTGCTTTGAGCGGTCATTAAGACTAAAAAAGCTCTCCATACTGTAAATGCGCTCCATTTACTTACAGTGCTTATGAAAACTATGCACACAAGTTTTCATGTTTTAACAATTACCAACATCAAATGAAAATAGATTTAATGTGGCCTTATTGACCCACTAGTGTGAAGGTGAAGAACTGATTCTAATTAGCTAAAAATATACAAATAAAATTACACTTGAATAAGGAATTTTATATAAAGCCAGCTGGTTTCACAGAATTAGTTAAATGCCACATTAAAACTACTTGGGTCACTTTATTCAAAGTAACATATCATCATCTGGTAATTAGCTGCTGTTAGATCAGGTTCAGGTATTGGCCCCTTTGATAGACTCAGATGTGGAAGAAGACCCCAAATGTACAGTCTTCTATAATTAATTAGACACAGTTCATTTGTTCATTTAAATATTTTGCTAATAAATGCATTGACGACTGTTTCTTCCTTCCAGGGGGTTTGAGCTCTTCAGAGCCAGTATCGTGAAGAACATTAAGTTCCACCAGCAAACAGAGAAGAAGTCTCTGTCACAGCTCAAGAGATCGTAAGTGTTCACAGTAGACAGACAGACAGACAGACAGACAGATAGATAGATAGATACATACATACTTACAGGACGATAGATAGATAGATAGATAGATAGATACATACATACTTACAGGAGGTGCAGTAACAGTGCAGCAAAGAACAAGTAGAAATATAACGCTGGATGAAAAGCCTTCAGTACTAGCTCATAGCAATTTTGGACACATAGTCTATATCAGAATAAACATAAATGAGGCCGAATGTGCAAAAATAATTTGCACCACAAATAGGGTATGTTGCATTTTCTGCCCTTATCATTATTAAATTTCAAGTTTAATATTTTGGTTTATATTTGTAGTTGTTTCAACCACTTTAAAGATACTGGTCTTAATTATCTGTTCTTACAAAACATGTGTGAGTGTGTAAAATGACCACTGGATGTCAGTATATACACATTGTTGCACACCTCTTTTCTAGCTTCAAAGTCTTTAAAATCAAGTCCACTCTTAATGAACTAGTGTAATTAACAAAATCACACAAGTTCTAGTTTGAGATTTGAAAATCCAAAAATACCACCGAATCAGAGGATCCCCACCAAATGAAATGTGTGGGCTGAATCTGGAACCTAAATGTAACAGCAACAATCCAACAGGTCGATCCTGGAAACATGGAGTTACATTAGCTCACAGTAAATATTATGAACTGGTAACATCCTTCTTCCTCCTTGTCCTCCTCCTGTGCTCTTCTCTCAGGATGCAGAGAATTCGCTCCAAGCAGCAGAAGTACAGAGACGGACACAAAACAAGTGAAGACTCCAGCGAGAGTCAGACTGCTGGTAGGACTATTAATAATTAATGATAAACTAACATTCAGCTAACTCCAGCCCTGCCATTCTCATATGGGCCTGCCAATAACAACCATGTCTTTAGCTGCAGATGCAGCACTGCTCAGGGGTTTGAACCGGTTGATGTCAGTCACTTGGTCTGTCCACAGGGTTTCAGAGGGAATATTGCACTGACTGTAGTCACTTTGTAGAATAATATTTTTCTTTTCTGTATCTTATATTCTTGTCTGTCCATCTTTTTTTTTCTTCCTCCCTGTGCTGTTTGCCTGTCTTTCTTTCACATTTCACATTTCATTCCTTCATTCTTTCTCCAGCTGATCTGAAATCCTGTAAATAAGTAAACAGGAGATACAAGTATTTCATGTGACAGTGAACTAAAGTGTACTGTTCTTCACAAAGAGTACCACTCATTGTTACTGGAGAACATTTTACTCTTAATACATTTTTTTGTTTAGCTGCATGAATCCATGAAAAAAATCCAAAACAATATTCCATGAAAACTGCTGAGTATCTGAATGTAATCTGTATATTCATGTTTCCGTAAAGATGACCTAGTGACATTTGTTCCAGCGTGTTTTTAATCCCGTTATAAGTAAAGGTCTGACATTCCTCCAACCCAAACCTTCCCTTGTTTCCTTCCAGAGACTCAGACAGACAAGAAGTCCAGGAAGAAGTGGTACCAGCCATGGCTGGACCACGCTACAGGTATGACAAACAGACTGGAAGAGTGAAGTAAGACTTCTGATGATCTCCATACAGTGAGGTGAAGGAGGTTGTGATATGTGATATTTTCCCGCTCACAGTGCTCCATTCAGGAGAGTACTACCTGTTTGAATCAGACAGTGAGGATGAAGAGGAGCTGCAGTCTGAAGAACAGAAGCCTCAGAAACAGACCGCCTTTCAGGTCAGACACACAAGTCATTCAGTATATAGTAAATCTGTACTGATTTACTATAGGGGTCTTATATTAATAAATTTGTCATCATGCATGCAACGTTATAGTTTACTCATCAGCTATAATGAGAGTTTGTGGCCAATACCAGATCTATGCTGCAGTAAACAAAATATGATTTTAAACTAATGACTCATTTCATATAATGCATATAGTTACAGTTGTTTTGCTGTGTTTGGCATGCAGTGTTGAAACTCTAATTTACAATAGTTCAACAGATAACTGCATATTTCAGGGAAATCTTCAAAATGTGGATACAAATGCTAAACTTGAAACAAATCCCCCTTTGCTATTTCTCTTTTAACAGCGTAGAAGGAGAAATTCAGTACACTGTGAAAAATTAAATGAAAGTATATTTCAGCAAAAATATTACTCACAAAAAAGTTACCTAGCCTAGTGCTAATGAGTTAGCCTAGTGAGCTAATGTTAAAGTAAACAAGAAAAAGTGTTGACTTTTACAGAATTTTTGGTTCATCATTCATTATAAATGGTTTGTAAATACATTGTATTTTATGAATTTTTCACATTACATATTAGACATTGCTCAAATAAAGCTCTGAGGAAATGTGAGAGTTGTGAATTTGACATCCTCATAGTCTAAAACAGGTTTACATTACAAAATCATTTCAATCTGTCCCGTGGGTAAAATTCTGTGGTAAAATATGTTTCCTGTGTCAGAAATTGTGGCCATCTTGAAATTTTGAAAGTTTATTGCAGTAACCTGCTGCACTACATACAGTATGTTTATTGTGTTGCTGATTTTTGTTTCCCTCCTCAGCTGGCGTACCAGGCGTGGGTGACCAATGTGAAAACAGCTCTTAGAGAACGTCAGAGACGCCAGCGACAGTCGAGGAGGATTGAGAGAAAAGAGAAAGAGAGAGAAGGAGGGGTGGAGGCACAACAGGAGGCTTTATCTTTAATAGGTCAGATATTCTTGCATCCATTTCCTGCCAGAGCAGATGCGAAGACACAATGATAGAGTAAAGTGGAGGGGAGAAACTGTGGCTGTAGTATTCAGTGTTGTGGTCAGGTCAGGTGGAGAGCATGTAACTTTTCCTTCAGTCTTTCTTCTAACTTGTGAGGCAGTGACTTGTTCTTTCACTGGTTGCATCAGTTATTCAATTCAAGCTTATTTAATGGTCATTTAATTAATGACCACAGTGTGAAGGACACCCACACCCACTAAATGTTCTCAAGTTCATCATTTATTAGAGTAAATCACCTGTCTGTTGCCTGTCATGACAGAATGTGGTCTGAGACACACCTGCTGTAGAGGGAACTGTGAAGTTTTGAGCACAGCAGGTGTTTATATGTCTGTCTGTCTGTCTGTCTGTCTGTGGACAGATATTTGTCTCTGCGACTCACAACCTGCAAGATACATATACAACTTTACAGGTGTGTAGTTGAGGTCAAAATGGAGGTTTGAAGATGGGTGTGGTCTGACCCATGAATACGAGTATATATATGAATATAATAATAACTTATGAGTCGACATGTTGACGAGCGTCATGGCTGGTGTGAACCCAGTCAATAACTACAGATACATTCACTATATTTACTACTTATGTATGTACTTACTGATGTTTTAGGGTCACATGACACCCAGACTCATTTATGCAAGCAGGAGTTATTGTCAACGTTAGGGTGAATGTAATGCAAGTCAATGTAATGTCATTTGATGTGATGGAAATGCTGTTTTTTGTGTGTGCGTGTGTGCGTGTGTTGGTGTGTGTGTGTGTAGGTTGTAGCGACAATGATGTGTTTGAGGATCCTGTCATTCAGGAGGAGGTGGAGGAAGAGCAGGAGTCTGGTAGGTTCATGCTGCTGTGTCTACTCATCATGTTACTAAATAGTGTATAACTCAATTAGGAATCATGACATAAAAAGGTCGCGGTGACCTCACAAAACACAGTTTTAGCCTCTTGAACCTGATATCTCAAGGCTACCGTAAGGAAATTTGTTTAGATTTAGCACAAACATTGACTTGGACTCATGGATAAACTGATCACATTTTGGTGGTCAAAGGTCACAGTGATCTCCCATTCTTGTGAATGCAATATATCAAGAATGTCCAGGGGGAACTTCATTGCTCACTTCTGCCACACTGTGACCTCACAAAACATGTTTTTGGTCATAACTTACAAATTCATTCACTAGGTATGACACAATTTAACTCAAATGTCTATAAAGATAAAATTAAGTGATGACATTTTATAACCAAAGGTCAACTTCACTGTGACATCATAATGTTCTGTAAAAGCACTTCTGGTTATTATTCAACACTGTAACTCAGGAAGGAGAGACTGTGACCATATTTGCTGTAACTTGGATGGTTGGTGGATGAAACAACCACGAGACAGGGATTCTAGTTTTGATTGTATTTGATCTTATTGTTTAAACCATTGCACTGAAGAAACACAATTCCAGTCATTCATTTACAGTGAATAATGTCTATTCTATAATGTCTATAGAGAGAATGACAATAAATAGTTATTTGTACCTTGTAAAGTCAGTACCACGCAGTAGGTCTACAAGAAAGAGTTGGTAGAACTATAAGAATATTTTGGTCCTTGTCATTTCTGTACATACATTTAGAAACAGTCCAAAGTCACAGAAGCCAGTATTTTCAAAATATACAAAATATGTACATAGAGGACATTTTGTGAGGAATCTGCTGAATCTACAGTCTGCTACCTTTACTATATCTCCTGCTTCCTCCCCACCCCCACCTACAGGTCATGGTGAGATGGTTCAGAGGATCTTGGATATCTTGCGTTTCTTATGGGCTATAGTTTTGGCCATGGTGGACGGACTGACTCAGTGGCTTAATCTTCTGACTAAACAGTACAGAGAGACATCTACAGTCCTGTGCAATGAACGCTACTCGATCATACACAAGATACAGCAGGTAAAAACAATACACACACACACACACACACACACACACACACACACACACACACACACACACACTCTAACTTGTGTGTGTTTCCTTCTGATTGGCAGCATCAAACAGCAGCAGACTCCACAGATGACCAGGTGTCTCAGGGCAGTGAGAGTCCCACACTGGAGACGTGTTTGGACGAGACAGATGCAGAAAATACCACCAGATACAGGTGAGTGTGAAGAACGGTGTCTGTCCCTTGTGTCTTTTGTTTGCCTACCACAAATTGCAGAACACACCATGCTGTGAATGTGCTTCCACACCCTGGAAGGATTACCGTCTACTATAGTACAATTTAGTGCACCAAACCAGCTTTCTCTCCCGTATAATAATAATAATAATAATTATAATAATAATAATAATAATAATAATAATGTTTATTTTTATAGAATATAATATATATATAAAGAGCAGAACAGCATAAATAAAAACATATCATATATCAACATAATGCAAAAAGATGAAGATGCAACTATATGTAAAAACTAAACTATATTTAAAAACAATAACTAGGGATAAAACAATATAAATAAAACACGTATCAAACATTACCAAAGGCAGAGATGGGTTTTAATAAGATATTTAAAGGAAGTTAAGTGTCTGATTTCAGGTTGGAGAGAAGACCAACATGGCTCCTTCTGCAGATCTCAATTTAAAGTCAGCAATAACATTTTTAAATCAATCCGAAATATAACATGATCTGATTTTAGAAATGATCCAGAGCTGGTAAAAACAAGACTGAACCACATGTTTGGCAAGTTGGCATCAAATATTACCCCGAAATCCTAGCAGCTGGCTTAATGTAATTAGAGAGGTCACCAAGATTTGCACTGAGAGAGCTGATAGATTTTGAGTGGCCAAACAGAATTACTTCATTTTTATCATTGTCAAATTTGAAAGGGTTTTGAGACACCCAGGATTTTATATTTGAGAGGTAAGGGTCACAAGGCTGCTAGGATCTGTGGGCTTTAGAGGAATATATAACTTGATGTCATCAGCAAAAAAATTATAAGACACATGCTTCATGATAATCTAGCCAAGTGGCAGCATGTAAATTGAGAACATAAGGGGGCAAAGAAAAGAACCTTGAGGAACACCTCATCTTAACATCTTAGACGTTGGGGAAATGGAGTTATCCAGCTTTGCTGTAGTTCAACTTCTTCTAGTGTGAAGTAACTGGTAGCTTGTAAAGTGATGCTTTCAAAGTAACTTGTTTCATAGGGTGGCAGAGGAGCAGAATAGATATAATTAAAGCCTATCTTTAAAATCTTGCTCTAGATAATACATTTCTGTACACATATCCATTTCCACCTTCAATTTCTCAGTCTTAATGTCTGTGTGTTTGAATCACTCTCTCAGCTGCCTGGAGGTGGATAGCAGAGGCCGGAGCACCCCCAGGCCAAGGCTCAACAGCACTGAGAATCTCTTGAGACCCGAACCCTCATCCAGCAGCATGGAGCTGGTACCAGAGACATCTAAACAACACAGACACTCCAGGACAGCCAGTGAGCTGCTAGGAGACAGGTACTGAACACCAACAATAATCCACAGTTACACTGGTTTCATTTCACCACCTTGTTCTCTATGTGCTTTGTGTTTAATAGTATAAGGCGTTTAATTAGTGTCAAAATTTGTGCACATAAAAACCATGTGTGTGCATGTGACACAAGAACAGAACACACCCATGAGCAGAAAACCATCCCTCCTCTGCTCCGCACACACAGATGAGGTGGCGTGAACACGGGATTGGGACAAGCAGCTCAGCTCAACACTCACAAGTCCCTACTCAAAAGTTGACTTTAGAGACTTTGGAGGCGGGAACAGTGGCTGATGTCTGAGCAACACACACACACACACACACACACACACACACACACACACACACGCACGCACACACACACACACACACACGCACACACACACACGCACATACACATATATATTGACAGAAACACTCCACACACCATCTCCAGAATTTGGATTAACCTTCAAAATAAAAGTCTTAACATGGTAAAATGGAATTATTGGATCTGTACAAAACCTTATGCAAATTTTACTGCCAAACNCATGTGACACAAGAACAGAACACACCCATGAGCAGAAAACCATCCCTCCTCTGCTCCGCACACACAGATGAGGTGGCGTGAACACGGGATTGGGACAAGCAGCTCAGCTCAACACTCACAAGTCCCTACTCAAAAGTTGACTTTAGAGACTTTGGAGGCGGGAACAGTGGCTGATGTCTGAGCAACACACACACACACACACACACACACACACACACACACACACACACACACACACACACACGCACGCACACACACACACACACACACGCACACACACACACGCACATACACATATATATTGACAGAAACACTCCACACACCATCTCCAGAATTTGGATTAACCTTCAAAATAAAAGTCTTAACATGGTAAAATGGAATTATTGGCTCTGTACAAAACCTTATGCAAATTTTACTGCCAAACACAGAAGCACAGACACTTTTAAAATAAGAGTCTCAAAAAGGTAGCTAAGGAAGCTATCGACTATATGGGGATATAGTGGTATAGTATTGTAGATCAGCTTCTGTAAGGGCATGTACATGTGTGTATACATGTCTTGCTATGGTTGTGGGAACAAATTTGATTGTGAAGCCATCGGTGTGAGGTTATTTTGGCCAGCTGTGACTGCTTCAAATGGCTTTTTGAGGGACACCTGCAGTTACTGAGATCAGTGTTAGGATAAGTCATGAATGAAACTGAAAGTAACGTCCTTTATACAGATTGAAATGTGAGGAGTGAAGTACATGAACCAAGCTGCAGGCACATTCACAATATCTCCAGTTCTGCATGGGTGTGGCCTGGGCATGAGTAACCGTATGCTTGCCACACACCATCATGCACCGAAGGATCAGCTCCATACATACCCTTCTTTGACCATTTCTGGATTAGCTGGGAGTTAGGGGCGGAGTCAGACACTGCCAAGATGGAAATGGTGGAGCAGCTCACTCTGAGCTTCAAAACTGCTCTTCAGAAACCTGTGGGTGATGTCACAGAGGCTACGTCCATCTTTATTTACAGTCTGTGGTTTTGAAACTAATTAAATGCCATAGCAGCAGTAATACCATCAAAGGGAATGGTTGAGTCATAAATGTGTTAAAGGAAACTATAATTTATTTCCCAGCTCTGGCCATTGGTTCTATCATATATTGAAAACTTGGTGATGAGGGTTGTGATTCTCCCTTCTGTCTCTGCAGGCAGGTCTTCATAGAGGAGCTGGAGCAGAGCAGAGAGTTCTATGTTAACCAGAACCGTGTGCTGAAGCTGCTGTTTGCCATGTACAACTTGCTGGCAGCAAACTCCGAGCTGGTCTGCTATTTCATCATTGTGTTAAACAATGTGGTCAGTGCCTCTGTGATATCACTGGTCCTTCCCATACTGGTGTTCCTTTGGGCTATGTTGGCTGTTCCAAGACCAACAAAGAGGTTTTGGATGACTGCTATAGTCTACACAGAGGTATGAACACTGATGACACACACACACACACACACACACACACACAATATTTCTTCTCTTTTAGCTGCTTGTTTTGTGATTCTGACTCTGAATAATGTGCTCTGTGTGATATCAACAAACAGTTCTATGGAGATTTGAAGCCTCTGTCAGCTCATTGTTTTAGTTCCATGGTCCATAACCTTACTGTTTTGCTTTTACAATACAACACTGACAATACAGTCGTTTCAATAACAAGTTATACTAATTGTATTCATAGAGATCTGATATGGCATAATGAAAGGCAGACTTAAAGTGATAGTTCAGGTTATTTGGCGTTGGGTTGTGTGAGGTACTTATCTATAGAGCACCGGCACGAAAGCTCAGTAAAGTACTGCTGTGGCTGGGGACAGTAGAAAAAAACCTTATTTAAGCCCAGAAGAAAAACAATATCATTGCCTTTATTCGTAGGAATATGGAAGTTCAACAGTTGAGAAAATGTAGTGCCAAAGGAAAGGGCTGTTTTAAGGCAAAAGAAGGACGAGCACTCCAAATCAAGTCCACTACAGGTAATGCAGTGACTTTGGATAAGTACCTCATACAAACCCATGTTAAATAACCTGAACTATCTAACCACCAACCTTCTGATTAGTCTCGCTCTACCTCCTAAGCCACAGCCGACGTAATCATTACTGCTTCACCCCAGTGACACACACACACAGGCACACACACAACTACCACAGGTCATTGAGTTACAGGCATACAACCCAAATATATCCCTTGCTCCTACAATGGTTGAATAGCTTTGAAAACCCTCTCCGCGCACACCCTGATGATGGACAGGGAGGTTCTGTGTCCGACCATACCATGGCCCTTTGCTTCAGATTCAACCATACATTAGATTTGGAGATCTCTCACAACTATAATCCAATAACTGAATTACAGTAAGAGAAGTGGTATAATACATATAATACAGGCCTCAACACGTTCACATATGTTACTCACTGATCTGATGGGGCTGTTTCCCTTTTTAAAAAGTTATTTTTTTGGGCATTTTTGCCTGTATGAGAGAGTGTGGGAAAGAGAGAGAGAGGGGATGACATGCAGCAAAAAGGCCTTGGTTGGATTCGAACCCAGGCCACTCCAGTAAGGACTGAACTCTACCAAGTGATCCACCTTTCCTGCCTCCTGCCTGGTTATATGTTGTGCTGCTCTGCCTCTTTCCAGGTGATGGTGGTGGTGAAATACCTTTTCCAGTTTGGATTCTTTCCCTGGAACAGTGCGTATGAGATGACTCTGAATGAAGACAAGCCTTTCTTCCCACCTCGCATCCTGGGCCTGGAGAAGACTGACAACTACATCAGATATGATCTTCTTCAGCTGCTGGCTCTGTTCTTCCACAGATCCCTGCTCATGGTCAGTTGGTATTTACAGTGATGGTTACAGAACTGGTGGTATGACAGCATAGTTAGCCAACTTCCACTGGCCATTGGACATTTTAGTAGTTGTTCACTTTCAAGCTTTGAATTCCAGTATGCAGTTTATGATAACTGCACAATGATAATTGAAGAAGATATGATTTTGTGCTATAGCTACATAGCCAACATTAGCAATGTTGAGCTTGGTTAGCATGGTTAGCTTATCAGTCTAGAAGAAACATTGTCCAACACCAAACTTTCTTTACTCCCTTATTCCTTTACTCACCAAGAGCTTTCTCCAGAGGTGGAAAGCAACGCCAATGTTGACTCTTGTTTTGCTTCTATTATGGTCACGTCTTTTCTTTGATTAGAGTTAGCATGCTAACCAGCTAGCTCCAGCCCAGTCGGACTGTCTCGTCACTCACATTTCGATACTCATCTCTGTCCGTCCAATCTCCGTCCAGTGTTTCTCAGAAGGCGTATTGCTCTTACTGCATAGCTAATGTTAGCATTATCAGCTGTTTACTCACCTGCCTAGAAGAAACTTTGCAAGATCAGCGTCAAACTTAATTCCTTTCTTTAACAAGAGTTGTTTCGAGCGGTGTAAAGCAACCCTCTTGTTTTGCTTATATTTATTACTTCTTTTCTTGTACTGAAGTTAGTATGCTAACCAGCTAGCTCCGGCTTGGTTGGACCGTCTTGTCACTTGCCAATCCCGAGTCACTGTATCGCTGAAGAAGCAGCTCTGCTCCAAGCACGTGTTATAACATTTTTTCTTCAACAATGGTTGAAGCTCTTGTCAATACTAGTAAGTTAACAGCTGTCAATGCCAACGTTAGCTATTACCCTTAAGTGATGCTCAAGGACAATCCCCCTGAAGTATTTCACTTTAGACAGACTTCAGCTTTGCTTTACACATTTGTATTTGTGTGTCCACTGTGTGTGTGTGTGTGTGTGTGTGTGTGTGTGTGTGTGTGTGCGCGTGCTTAGCGTTATGGTCTGTGGGACCACGAGGGCCCCCTGGAGGAGCAGAGCCCTTCATCAGAAAGTTGTAAGGATGAAGGAAAAACTAGAGAAGGAGATGAAGATGGAAAGAAGCAGGAGGGAGCAGGAGGAGAGGAGGAGGAGGGCAGAGTTAGCTCAACATCCACCCTGGACAACCTGGAAAAGACTGAACTGGACCAGCTTGAAAAGGTTGGTTGCTATTGGTTACTGTCCTATCAATAACCACTTTGATAGAATGTGTTCATCATGCAGTTTTGTAGTTTTTAAATCCATTGTTTCTCACTGTAGGATAATGTGGACCATGTTCAACCGAGCGCCAGCTTTGCTGCTGCTATCCCACAACCTCCAACACCTGAACCAACCCCCACTGGGTCAAATGATGGACAGGACACATTGAATCCTTCCAGCGGGCCGAGGGAGGATATAATAGAGGGACACAATGAGCAGGTGATAGAGGACGTCCCAAAGAAAAGCAGCAGCATCCGCTTCCGCAGGAAATCTAAACAGCCCAAACAACAGCACAGCAAAGGTTTGTATTTGTGTTAGGAATGTGATGGTTGAGGTATGACTCATAACATTAACACTAACAGCATGTTAGTTATTTTATCTTTTTGTTACAAGTCAAAATATCTGTGTTATCAAGGTCCATTCTCACTCATCCTGCCTGATACATAAAGACACTCTGTGGACCTGTTCACACCTGTTCAGACCTGGTATTAAAATCCGTCTGTGGTGATCTGATCACCAGTGATCAGCTCTAAATTCAGGTGTGAACACACCAAAGATGCATTGAGGACACATTTGAGATCCGATCACTCAGACCACATTCAGAGGTGGTCTGGACCACATGTGTCCACATTCTTTCAGCACTGTGGACATGAATGTGTCCTGGGTCACACTGAAGGAACCAACTACTCCAGTGATGTCCTCTGCCACAGTCTGATTAGTCCTGACACAGTTTATAATGAACCCAAAATATTTTACTATTTCAAATGGATAAAACCTGATTTCACTGTAGAGCTGGCAGCAGAGCAATGAGTCACTCAACCCCTCTGAACCTCTCTCTCTCTCTCTCACTGTCTCTCTCTCTCTTTCTCACTCTCTCACTCACTCACTCACTCACTCACTCACTCACTCACTCACTCACTCACACACACACACACACACACGCACACACACACGCACACACACACACAAACACATTGACAATGGACCTGTCTGTCAATTGGCTAAAAACATCAACACATACCTGTTTATTTGCATATAAAGCAGGAAGTGAGACACGATCACAAGGGGTCAGTCGAGAGGCATTTTAAATCCAGGTGTGAAATGATGAACTGAGAACTGACCACTTGTGACTGGATCACTGAAGACGCATGTTATTGCAGGTCTGAACAGGGTCTTTGACATCCTTAAGATTTGCACACATCATTTCAAATGGCTCCTCTAACGCCTCAGTATTCTTCAGACTAAGTGCTTCTGGGACTGCGTCCGTAAATTTTCTGAAACAGACAATTGCTTGGCTGGATGTGTGGAGCAGTGAAAGTAGGCAGGGTTCAAACTTCTCTCTTTCAAGCTCTCCTTTTTTCATTCCTCACACAACTACTACACTGTTTGTGTGAAGAATCATGAGAATTTTTACGATTAATCATCGTGTATTGCCCATCTCTATGGTAGCAGGCTTTTTACCTCACCCTGTGCGGCCATTTTGAGCATGTAGAAACATATAGCCTTTATCTGCAGTCTCTCTGTCACTAACTATTTAAACTATAGTTAAGTGTTGGTAGCAATACATATCACAAGGGAGGCTTCCTGGTGTAATACCCTTCCAACTGATGAAGAACTCTATAGTGCACTAAAAGCTTGGGCTTTGAGGCTAGACTGTCACTGGGAAGGAGGAGATGTTTCTTCAGTACAAAATACCTAAAGTGACTCGACTAATATCTTCATAGGTGAAAGCTGTCATTAGGATAAAAAAGAGCTAATCAATAACAATAGTCTCAAACATATTTTAAACAGTGAAGGCTTACAGGCTCTATGACATGTTGTCCTGTACAGTCGTGGGGCAGCATGTATCACAACCTCTGAAAAGACTTTTGAGAGAAATGAGGCAGGAACAGGGAGCTGTCTGTTGTTGGTACACAGGCAGGATTCCTGGAGTTAACAATGGCAACATACAGTACATGCTGTCATTATAAGTTGCAGCTCCACTCTGGTATTTTTTCTTAATCTTGGTCATCACTGTCCTGACACTGGTATAGCGTGTGTGACAAAGAGAAAATATGTTTCAGGAAAAAACTTTTCTTTTTAATTCTATTTGGTGCTAATTCTGTTTTATCCCTCTTTGGTTCTAGGTCTACCTGCTCCAGTGGAGGCCACAGCTGAGACCACAGATCCCAGTAAAGAACCAGTGAGGAAGAAGCAGAAAGGCAGGAGGAGGGAGGCAGCCAGTCAGCGACTGCTGGCTCTGGGACACAAGATAAAACACATCTTCGTCTCTGGGTGAGCGCGGTAGAGATGCTGTGATGTGACCACAGTTACATTTATCAAAATACTTCACAGGTTGCCGACCATATAACCAATCATTTATTCTATAAAAAGCTTGAGATTAGTATGAATAATTTAGTTGCAATATGAGAATAAATGTGTTCAGTGTAATGTTGTGGTTTAATGCAGCTGTTTTTCTCTGCAGCATTCAGAGTGTTTACAGACCAGCTCAGGGCTTCTTCAGGGACATTCTCCACGCTGAGTATCAGGCTGCCACTGATGTCTATGCTCTCATGTTCCTGACTGACGTCATCGACTTCATCATCGTCATCTTTGGCTTTTGGGCTTTTGGGGTGAGGGATGGATGGAAGTTGTGATTTTGTGATTATTTATCCATTATTGCACACTGAAACTACAATGAGAAGAAATCAAATTGAATTAAAACTGAACTGACATGAGGTCGTCTACAAAAACCTGACATGCCCTTAAAATTGTGTATAAACAGTGTAGTATTACACAATATTATGCGTTATGCATAAGCACATTCCTAAATCACATTAAACTTTAAAAGCCACATTGTCTGGCTGGTGCTGTTGATCATCAAATAAACAATGTTATTTTCCCTCTTGTCAACTGTCAAAAATTTTTACTGTCAGTGATATGGTGGAATTGTGATCCCTGACCAAGAAGACATTTCATGTTTAAAACAAAGTTAGAGTTAATAGAGAAAATCCCTCCTGACCTCTCCTTCAGAAACACAGTGCAGCAGCTGATATAGCCTCCACCCTGTCAGAGGACCAGGTCCCCGAGGCCTTCCTGGTGATGCTGCTCATCCAGTTCAGCACCATGATCATCGACAGAGCCCTGTATCTGCGCAAGGCCGTCCTGGGAAAACTCATCTTCCAGGTTCATTCTACTTTTTCAGATTATTAGCATCTGTGTGGTTCCATATCTTTAAAATATTGAAGAAGTCAGGAGGAGGAGGACTGACTCTGTGTCAGTGGTTTTTTTTGTTCCCTCATTCACCATTACAAATTATATCAGACTTCAGTGAGTGGATTTTCATGGATGTGTTTTAGCATTCCTTTCAAATTTACTTCCTGAAAAGATTCAACTGCAACATCACAAATGGGGAACTGATGCTACAGGAGAAAATTAGGTGACTTTTGGAAAGGCCCAGAGTGGCCTGCAACATTTATTTGTAACATGTTTAGAGTTGTCTTGCTCTTCATTTTTGTTTTTTTCTTTCCTCACACTCTTCCTCTCCTCCTTCTGTTTCTTCCCTTCAGGTGATCCTTGTGTTTGGGATCCACCTGTGGATGTTCTTCATCCTCCCTGGTGTCACTGAAAGGTAAAGTTCAATCCTGTCTTGTACAAATGTATCATTCTTATAGTATGTATATACAGTATATAGTATGAGTTGAGTCTTCAGAATACTGTTGAAAATTTGATTTAATTAGTTTTAATCTTCCTCACCTCCCCCTTTCCCCATTTAGGATGTTCAATCAGAACTTTGTGGCCCAGCTCTGGTACTTTGTCAAGTGTATTTACTTCGGCCTGTCGGCCTATCAGATCCGCTGTGGATATCCCACTCGTATCCTTGGCAACTTTCTCACCAAGAAATACAACCACCTCAACCTGTTTCTCTTCCAAGGGTACGGACAACAAAGCAAATCTGCAGCTATTTGTGCTGGAATTACAGATTTGTTTCATTCATTGCACACACACACACACACACACACACACACACACACACACACACACACACACACACACACACACACACACACACATATACAAATATATATATATATTGTGCATGTATGTATGTTATACATATGTGTGTGTGCAGGTTCCGTCTGGTGCCGTTCCTGGTGGAGCTGCGGGCAGTGATGGACTGGGTTTGGACTGACACAACTCTGTCTCTATCAAACTGGATGTGTGTGGAAGACATTTATGCCAACATCTTCATCATTAAATGCAGCCGTGAGACAGAGAAGGTATGTGAGCCCATGTGATGTGACAGCAGACCAGATACCTTCTTCTGAGGGAAAAGCAGTAACTGCCACAATGTACAGCAGTGGCAACAGGTGGCCAAAATATTAGACTGACAGTCCCACATATAGCTATACTGTCCAAAAAGAGAAACACTGAAAAACATTGACAACAAAATTGGCAAAATAGGCTTATGACCTGAAACAACAGAGCAAACAGGAGGCTACATTAGTACCTACATTCAAAATACAATGTGGCTATTAGATACAGTAGTACAATGTGAAAAGTTGCATCTCCTGTCAGTCTTGTGATATGCACTCATTCTTCTGGGAGAACTCCGATATAGCAGCACACAGTAACTCCACACATGCTTATCACCTTTCAGCCTGGGCAACACTGGAAAAGGAGAGTCCAGCACCTCTCCAGGAGTTTGTTTCCAGACCCACCGCTGTGCCCAACTATGTGTAGTTAGTACTGCACAACCTCTTACATAACACAATGTATTTGCAAACCATTTATTATGAATGATGAGCAAAGATTCAGTTCTGTAGTTGACAGTTTACTAGTTTACTTGTCTTAATATTAGTTCGCTAGGCTAACTAACTAGCGCTAGGCTAGTTAGCAAGCTTTTTTGTGAGTAGTATTTTTTTGTGAGTTATATTTTTGCTGAACTATACTTTCATTAGATTTTTTACAATGTACTAAATGTTTCCTTCTACGTTGTTAAAATGTAATGTGGATGAACTTTTTGTGAAAAATAACATTTCCTTGGATTTTCGAGTAATACCCCCGGAGGATGTGCCAAGTTGAGCATTTGTATCCACATTTGAAAGATTTCTCTGAAATATGCAGTTATCTGCTGTGCTACTGGTACCATATGTTATGATCACCACTGAATCGTGGCAGGGGGAGGGTTTGTGCCAGTTTCCTCTGAATTATGGGTAGCAAATAAGAAAATACTGAACACTCTTTATTTAAAAAAAGACAAATAAAAACATATTTATTATCTCTCAAAATAATATTTTCTTTCCTCAGAAATACCCGCAGCCTAAAGGGCAGAAGAAGAAGAAGATAGTGAAATATGGCATGGGTGGACTCATCATCTTCTTCTTGATTTGCATCATCTGGTTTCCCCTGCTCTTCATTTCACTGGTCAGATCAGTGGTGGGTGTGGTCAACCACCCCATTGATGTCACAGTGACTGTCAAGCTGGGAGGATACGAGGTAATTAACATTTTGTACAGTAGTTTTTTTTACAGTGTATAAAAGTTTTGACTATTCTACAGGCATACGACAGAGTAGCTGCATTTAATATCATTTGACAACCAACTTCCAAAACTGCTCTCTGGGTATTGATAAAACTGCTTAGAGAGATGAAGTAAGTACTGATAATTTTAAAGATTATATAATCATTGTAGTGTTTTGAATTAATAGACATAGTGTCAGTATACAGGTATTATTTTAGATATTTTAGATATGGTCTCTTAATACATTATTAATTTTGCTGTGTCTTGTTGTGTGAAAGACATTAAAGCTGGCATACATTTCAGTGTTTCATTTCAAGTTTAATTTAGTTTATCCCAGTGAATGAAGACTACAGAAAGCCAGCGTTACAAACTTGAGGTGTGGTAAATGTGGTAATTTGCAAACCATTGTCCTCAATATCCCTGGCTCTGGAGAAAAGTATGTCTTTAGTCATATATTAGTCAGGACTAATTTCAAATTCAAAGGTGCATCTTGCAATTTGTCAAAGGCTAGAGTGTGAAGTATTAGCAGAGCAATACAGAACTGTGTCATCAACATAAAGATGTATGTTACAGTTTGTTATGGAGGATGTAATATTGTTAATTAATAAATTACAAACAACACAGGAGTAGTATTGAACCTTGTGGAATCCCCTTTTACAGAATGATCAGTCAGTTCTGTAGTATGAGTTGGGGCAGTTTTTGTTCTGATCATCTGACAAGTACACAGGTACACATACAAGGTGGGAAATCCCTATTGATAGTAAGATTATCATTAGAGAGCTCTGCTGGGGCTCATAGAAGTAGGGTTAGTGTGCATGTCTACGGAAGCAGAGGAAGGCCAAATATTTTTTCAGCCCGTTTTACAACAGAGTTTTTTTATGCGCTCGATAACAAGAAATTATCTGGAGTTAACGGAATAATTATCCTGTTATCTCTAATGGATAACAAAGCTTTGTTTTCTCAAGATAGCGGAATAATTATCCTGTTATTCCAATAACGGGTTAAAAAAATATTTACAAGTATGGCTTTTCTCAGCTTCCGGACATATGCCAGATGTCAGTATGCAATGATGGATTTTATTCACAGAAATGAATTCAGTGATACTGTATCTGTACTGTACTGTACTGTTGTATTGTTGATGACAAACGGAAAATGTTTACAAATATAAAACCCAAATGACACAGTTGGTAAAGCGTGTATAATCCTTTGTGTGTCTGTGTGTATATTCAGCCCCTGTTTACCATGAGTGTGCAGCAGCAGTCCATCAAGCCTTTCACAGAGGAGGAATATGACCAACTCACCAAAAAGTTTGGAGACAATGCGGTGAGTCCTGATTCCAGTTTGACTTTTGTATCAGTCTGAATGTTCTGTTACTATCTGTCTTTGTGCTGTAGTAACTATTAACAATTATCAGGCTTTAATGACACGATCGTAGTAAAAACCGACTGCACAGGACAAAAACAACTCGGAAATAAGAGGTGATAACAAAAGATATTAATACTAAGTTCAGCAACAACATCAACAATATTTTGCAAAGTTTATATATATATATATATATATATATATAAACTATATATATATACTGTATATACAGCAGCAATAACAGGTAGTTGACCACAACTGATGGAGATCAGTGACTGTATAAAATAGCAGTAGTATTAATGCAGTGAAAACAAACAACAAGCAGTTTTGTTTTTTTCACTGTGTGTGTTTGTGTATGTTAATAAAATGCTTTCAGTGTACATTCTAACTGTTTGCAGGTGAAATGTGTGTGTGTGCATGTGTGTGTATGTGCTTCCAAGCTCCAAATTGACAATTTGTTTATGTTTTTCATGTGGCTGAATTGAGGATGTTTTCACTTGAATTTTGAGAAATAATTTGCTCTGATTGGCTGGAGTTTTGTGCATTTTGTTAGAAAGTGAAGCGTTGTCTCAGCTCTGTCTTCATTGCACAGCTGACAGAAGCACTTTCTTTGGGGAGCCCTGTTTTTTTTTGTATGGGCCTGTGTTGATGGGCTGTGCTCACTGGGTGGTTCTGTGTTTAATGTGTAATTGGTTTGTAGTAGTTTGATTTATTTTGATACGTATCATTTTGTGTGTATGTGCATCTAGGTTGCCATGCAGTTCATCACGCTCTACAGTTACGAGGACATAGTGAAGGCCATGATTGAAGGTAGTTCAGGATCAGTATGGAGGATCAGCCCCCCCAGCAGACAGGAAGTCATTAAAGAACTACTTGGAAGTACCGCTGACCTAACGTTACGTCTGGCCTGGACTTTCCAGAGGTAAAACCTTTGGTCTCCTTACTACAAAATGACATATGCATAATTATCACCAAACTGACCGGGCAATAGTCAACTAATGTTAACATGCTAAAGCTGACAAAGAACAGCTGACTGTGACGAATGACAGCCGAGGCTATAATGCAGTGAATGCATTATGCTTCCATTGAATTCTGATAAAATTTGAAAAAATCTGCTCTGTTTCTCAGAATTTTGAGATATGATCTCGATCATTCAGAAAAACGCTTTTGTAGATGTATCTTTGAATGGTTTAAACTCTAAAAGCTGATTGTATCTGTCTCTCTTCTCTGACAGGGACCTGGGTAAAGGAGGGACGGTGGAACACACCTTTGACAAATACTCTATAGACCTGGAACCCGGGAACCCAGTCAGAGCGGATTTGGCCTCACTACTGGTCGGCAATCGCACTAAACCTGTGTAAGTTTGTCTCTCTGGTTTTGTGTTTTATTTTATACATATGCAGTAGATGCACCTTAAAGATGGTATCTTATCTCTTTCCCAGGCATGTTCCTAATATGTTCCCCAACTACGTTCGTGCCCCCAATGGAGCTGAAGCCAAACCAGTCAGTCAGCTGTATGAAGGTCAGAAGTCACTGAGTTACTTTTAAAATGTATACAATATAATATTCTTTTCACAGCATGAAATTTGAACGGGCAGAATAATTTCCAGGGTCAGACTTGATGGTCATGGAAGGAGCAACCAAAACACCAACATGATAGTATACTATACTATACATAATAGCTACTTTCTATTGTCTACTTGTTTACTTGTCTTAACATTAGTTCACTAGGCTAACTTGCTAGCGCTAGGCTACTTGTCAAACTTTTGTGTGAACATTTTTTTTTGTGAGTAATATTTTTTCTGAAATATACTGTCATTTCATTTTTTAAAGTGTACTAAATTTCACCTTTGACCTGTCACATCTGACACCAGGATCATTCATATTGGATGAATGGCAGCCATCTTGAATTTTCAAGTGGCTAATGTGTTTTACCTAAAGAGTAATACCCATAGAGGATTTGTGCCAAGTTTAGCATTTGTATCCACATCTGAAAGATTTCCCTGAAATATGCAGTTATCTGTTGAGCTAATATGACACAGTGATGGTATTTGATTTGGTATGGATCATTATGATGCGCACTATTACGCATGGAAAACATGAGAATGGTAGGATGTCCAAAAAGGTAAATTCAGCTGACAGAGGGACACCATTTTCTCCTGGCAGTACATCTGTGCTGCTGTATCTAAAACTATGCATGCCCCAAACAACGAGTGAATTTGATACAACAGCAACACACTGGGCAGGATGTGACGCTAGACTGCGATCTGTGCCACACTGCTGCATTCAAGAAACTAGAGCTATCATTGTCTGTTTGTGTGTGTTCTAACACAGCTTACTGGTTGTCTTGTAGGTAACGAAAATGGTTACCTGAACATAACCCTGTCCCTGATGAGTGACAGGTCACTGAATGAAAGTAGAAACCAGGAGTGGTGGGACATCGCCATCGCAGGCTGCGCCCCCTCCTCATGCGGTGTTCTACCCATGATCATATTCAATGACAAAGTCAGTCCACCGAGCCTGGGCTTCCTGGCTGGATATGGGTGAGGAGCACATACTCACAAACACTTCACACTTCAGCAGAATACACTGGAAATAATTCATGTTTGCAATTAGACTTAATTAGACTTAAAAACATTAAATATTTTTAGAGCTGCTGATTGTGATATGTATGCTTTTCCCTCCAGGATCATGGGTCTGTATGTGTCTGTGGTCTTAGTCATTGGAAAGTTTGTGCGTGGCTTCTTCAGTGAGATCTCCCACTCCATCATGTTTGAGGAGCTGCCCTGCGTGGACCGCATCCTCAAGCTCTGCACAGACATCTTCCTGGTCAGTTTGCAGTGTGCATATTAACACACATACAGTGCATGCATTTACTGTACTAATGTGCACACACACATCAGAGACGTAAAATGAATGTTCCAAATTTGAATAAGCTTTCCTTGTACGGATTCATAGGAGTGCCAAATAAAAGAATAAATCCAAAAAAGAATAAGAAACAAAATGTGGAAATAAAAGTAGTAATAAATAAAAGAATAATAATTTAAAGAAAAAACCTTTACCTATTGCTTTTGCTTTTCCTTGAAGCGCCAAGCTGTCAGTCAGCTGGCTTTGGGCGGGCTTTCCTGCCCAGGCTGAGTAGTCGATTCCTGCACACATGAATCCAGTTTTGGTGGGAGCTTTTTGGTGCGAGCAACAGGAAGTAGCCATGTGCACAGTGTTCCCTCCCCAACTCTGATTCAAACCGCCACCTGCCTGTCTTGTGTGTGTGTGTGTGTGTGTGTGTGTGTGTGTGTGTGTGTGTGTGTGTGTGTGTGTGTGTTTGTGTGTGTGTGTGTGTGTGTGTGTGTGGCGGCTGTGGCCATGTTAACAGGTTAGAGCGGCCATACTGCCTGAGACAGACGCCTGTCCCACCTCGCACTTCATCTAGAGATTCACTGTCTGGCCTATCTTTCACATGTGACGAGTTCCCAGCTAAAATAAACAGAAACACCATCTGTTGCTGGTCATATTGACATCATACTATTAACATTACATAAAACTGATACCTTCCACCATAGTTTCAATGTCTAAGTTCTACCTGAATATGTCACAGACATGAAAAAATTATAAAATAAAATAATTTTAGCCATTTTAGTTTGTGGTGACAGTGGAAGCCACTTGTACTATATGGTCATAGCAGAAACCCAATGCAGGTTCTAATTACATTATGTCAATAATTTAACAGGTGACGGCAGTATTTCTCTCTCTCTCTCTCTTTTTCTCTGTGTGTGTCTTGCTCTGAACGAGAATAAACAAAGGCAAACTCAGTAAAGAAAGACAGAGCTGTAGTGACACAGCAGACACACAGGCAGTGTGAACACACTCGCACACACGTGTGATGCAGTTGCCCACACACATGCAACACAGGCAGTATGTCCTGGGTGTCACACTGTGTCTACTTCCTGTTGTCCACGTTAAAAGCTCCCATCAATATGAATTCATGTGTGCAGGAATCAACTACTCAGCCTGGGCAGGAGAGTTTTTTTTTAAGATTTATTCCTTCTTATATTTCCACATTTATTTTCTTATTCTTTTACAGATTGATTATTTTTTAAGGCACTCCTGTGACTCCATCTCCTTGAACCAAGATATTTGGAATATTACCCTGGTCTCATCATTAGCATAGACTTGCTTTCCCTCTTTAATACATCCACAAACACACTTGTTTCCATGCTGTTTGCTGTCCCGCAGAATCATTTCTTTGAAGTACTCCCCATTAAATTGAAGTTTGTGTGTGTTTCAGGTGCGTGAGACCGGAGAGCTGGAGCTGGAAGAGGAGCTTTACTCCAAACTGATCTTCCTTTATCGATCTCCAGAGACTATGATCAAATGGACCAGGGACATCCACAGCCGAGACCAGGACAGATACTGACTGACTGACTGACTGACTGTGTCTGGCTGTAATAGAATATGTGAAGCACACTGCAAAGATGTCCAGATGGACAGCTCATGGAAGGCTTCATGAGGACATCTCCTGCTGCTGGACTCCTGTTCTTCACAGCTGCCTGAGCACTTTCATCCCAACACCTTACACTACCGACTATTGAGAGTGGAGCTGCAGTCCCACTGTGGGTGGGGCTGAAGGCAGCTGGATGTCTACAGGATTGGATAGAATGTCCCTGGAAGGCAAAATGAGTGGTGTTTGTAAATGGTCAGAGGTTAAAGGTCAAACACAAAAAATATCTCATTCCTGACCTCTGTGCATTTAAAGCACACAGGGTGGAGGATTAATGGCTGAATCCTGAACCAGCTACAGTTACTGCACCAGTATGAAAACATGCTGTCAATCAAACTTAGAAATGTTTTTTACAATCATTCATTCTTGTAAAATTAACGAACATGCCAAGCAGCTGCCATGGTCAATTGACTTTACATCGTGAACCCAGGTCAGATTTAAAAAGCTGTGTCAGGTTATTTGTACTTGGACAGATGTTCTGAGTTTGTTCCAGGCCTCCACGTGTCCCAGGTTCAGGGGTAGCAGTTGAGATAGGCTGGTGGGAGAGCTGTGGATCAGGCCGATGCAGATCCTGCTGGTTGCCTTTCGACACTTTAAAAATTGAGTTCAATTAAATTCAATTAAAAAAGCTTTATTCCAGTACATGAGGCAGGGCGCACACACATGCACAAACACACATACTGTATCTCAATAAAACGACACAAACAACATAAAGTGCTGTGTGCTCGGCTCATCGAGTTACTGGTCGCTTCTTCATTGTTCATGACACCCTCAGACAAATGTTTGATTTGAATGTGTCCAGGTAAAATGTACTGAGGTGGAATAAAGAATGTCAAGTTTAACCATCAAAAACAGTTTGGGTTAAAGTGCTGGTTCTGTGTTGTAAAATTAAAACTGTCCTCCACATTCAAAAGCCACGGGCCAGTTGCACAAAGCACCTTAAGGTTAAATTTCTCCTTAGCTGAGGGAGTTACTTATGGTTGTTGCACAGAATAACGTCAGGATTCCATTTAGAAAAACATTTGCAGCCATGAAAGAGATTTTACAGCAGTAAAATTCTTGTTGGTCAGAATAGGAAAGGGCAAGACAGAGGAGGAAAAGGCGAAACTTCTACAAAAGAAAAGACGTCCTTAAAAGTAAATTTGATCTGCATCCAACAGACACTCGATGAATGACACGGCACACGGCTGATCGATGGACATGAAACACTTCACCAATGATTATGATCGCTCTGCATAAAACCACTGAGCAATCATTAACTGCCGTGGAGCTGGGGGGGAGCAGCTGAGGAAAGAGGAGTGATCAGTTGAGGGTCCATCAGGTTCTTCTGATCATGGAAAGCTTTTGTTGGGATGTTCATCCTCTTCCATCCTATCACCATAAACTACATGTTGCGGTTAAGATACAATCAGAGGTACCTTAAGTTTTTTCCTTAGGTTGGTCACTAAGGTCTTAACTGACTTAAGTGATTCCTTAAGTATAAGGCCAAGATAAGGAGGAAAGCTTAAATACTTAAGAGAACATTTTAAGGAAACCTTAAAGACAGGACTTAAAGGTCTTTTTTGCAACAGTTTTTATTTTAAGGAAACTTGGACTTTAAAGTTGGACTTTAAGGTAAATCTTAACTTAAGATGCTGTTTGCAACTGGCCCCTGCTCCTCGAACAATTCGCTGGTTACAGAATGAATATTGATTGAGTAGTTAAAGAGTTGATGGCTGGACTCATCACTCTGAATCTGAACTGACTGTCTTCTTTTATTTTCCTGTTCAGGCCTGTTAGTCTTTCATTTGAAGAAAATACACATTTGACTAAGTTATTGGATGTTGTGAAGTTGATATAACAAATATTTGTACTATGCCGATGTTTCTTTGATCTGACACGCTGCACATGCAGAGTCTGACAAAGAACAGCAATGTATGAAGTCAAACCATGTGAAATAAATCTCAGCAGGGTTGGCTTAGAGTCAGAGTGACCCTTTGTGTTATCACACAATAGTAATATGGTTATTGATACAATATGTGACTGAAAAACTGATACTTTTCACACCAGCAGGTTGTTGTTACAGGAGATTTTATTGTGTGTCTCTTGGTTTCATTTGTGTAACTGCAAATAATTTTGGGAATATGAACCACTAAGACACTATATAAAATGATCATGGCCTTAAAGTTGTCCTGTATTGTTTACATGTGTTAAAATTTACGTGGTGCATATTCTAAATAAAGGTCTAATGTCTTAAGTATCAATATCCGCTGCTCTCAGCAGTATGTTCAGCTGTTTCCTCACTAATCATTACATCAACATGGTTGATACCGCACTCAAATACAGGACCCAGAGATGCGGGAGTGGGTTTGGGGTGGGTATCCAGGACCAGCGATGGAGCTAAGCAGGTGGTGCCAGGGATTGCGGCCAGGGCTGGCTGAGCAGGGAATGTGCACACTGGGAGGGTAAACATGAGGCGAGCACACTCTGGAACCACAGGGAGCGTTGACCTGAACACAGACAAAAGAGGAGGAGAGCAAACACAAGGAAACAAACTGAAATACAGAAACGTGTTGCAAGTAGCACAGACGACAACAGATGTGACACTAAAAAGTGATGAACCGGGCTGGATCGCCCTTGTTGTTCAATGATTTGTGACTCTTGCAGTTAAAAGCGTTGAACAAGTGCATGATACATCCGTGTGTCCTTACCGGGTGCATCACTTTTTAGTGTCCCCTGGAAACACTTCCGTTGTGTTGTGAGTATTTGCAGCTCATGTGTTGTCACACTGATGAAGATGTTTTATGAATTTGTTTGTGTTTTATCTGTTTTCTTACACTGCAGTGTGTTGAGCTCTCATGGCCACCATACAAAATGGCTGTATCTACACCCAAAAGCTTCAAGCTTGGACACCTTCAACTTGATGGATTATATACAAAATAGACAAAACTAGCATTTTAGAATCCAACATACACTTAAGAAACAAGTAATAATTGGACTTAGCAATCTTTGTGAAAAGAGTGTTGTCATATTGTGAGACAATTTGCTGAGGGAAATTACATTACAGTTTTTTCAATTGCTTACACAATTTACACAATTTAGCTCATTGTGTCAAAACTCCACACACAAGCCGAGCAAGACAGAACACCTGGAGCTGAAGATCTCACTTCTATGTCAAAATGAAACACTGCAATCAAACCCTGACAATCCTCTTTCCAAACCATACACACATGCACCATGTGAATGACTCTCTGAAGGCAGCAACAACACACTGATGAAAACACTGCTGTCTTTACAACTTTGTATATCTTTTTCATTTTGTCATACAGGCTTCACACAACACAGAAATAAAAAACATTCAGAAACAGCTGATTTTACCAGAACAGGTTTGTACAGAACAGTAGAACTTACAGCTGCAGCCACAGCCTCTGTCACAGAGCATGTTTACACTCAACTGTGAAGATGGTAAGTTATTCTGGTGTAAAAAACACAGGATTCAATGTCTACATTTCACACAGGGAGGGGGGGGGGGAGGGGGGAGGGGGCTGGGGGCGGTTTGGACAGATAGGCAGATACCCCCCACACCAGTGCAGGTCACATACTGCTTTGTCTGAATGTCTACATTGACAACACAACACAATCTGCTGCCATCACTCTGTTACTCTACAGTTCAGTGATAGTTCCACACGTTCACAGAGAAGGTCTTTGACTCTAACACTGTTCCTCTCATATGGAACCTGTACAGCTGCTTCAGTGTAAGGTGGTGTTGACTCAACATGTGGCAGAGTGTCGATGGACTGAAAGGTTCAGTTTAGAAAGTGAAGACCTGCTCTCCAGTCTCATTGTCTGTATTACAGTATGGCTGCTACTCTGTCTGAAATCAGAGTAGCATCTGAAATATGTGTCTGTCTGTTGCCTGGTTTTCTTTGTTCTTGCCTTCATCCTCCACCTGCTCTCTGTCTTCCTCCTCTTCTCACTCTCGCTCTCACTGCTTCCATGTTTCAAAGTTCTCACAGAAGCTCACCTGAGGTCTGTCTGTAGCTCTAAGGCTCAGACTGAGTGGTGTTGAATTTCTGCATAAGTATTTTAAGGTGTTTATGTGTGTGGTACAAAATTCAGGTGTGTGTTGCAGTTTGTCCAAGACTTAAATCTCACAATCATTGTGAAAACACTTCTTTTTCAAAGTGTCTAATGTAAGAAAATATGTTTGTGCTTTTGGTTCCTTTGTTTAAGGCATGGTTTCAAAAGTTATGGTTTTGATGCTTTGGTCTAAGCATTCACTTTTAGTGTGTACTGACCAACCCCTCCCTCCACATTCTCAATCAGCAAGGTGTTATGGATCCCAATAAGCCCAGGGTGTAATCATACATAAATAGTATATTGTGTCCATCTTGTAGCTTTTTTCATGGGAACTGTAGTTTTTCTGGGGGG